ATCCGAATGGCAGCACCTGTGTCCAATGTCCTGTAATGACCCCAGGAGACGGATCTTCTTTACACCACCCCCATCACTGGGACAGGCAGCTCAGTTTCCACACCAGTGACCACCAGCAAGTGTCCCAATTCACCAGAACCCTGGGCGCACAAGTGGGAGTGGACCCTACGGGCAAATACCCACTGGCCTTGACACTCTCAGAATTTCGCTAAAGTCTGAGATGGGGTGAGCCACCCAGTGCTTCTTAGGCAACCATAAGCAGTGCCCACAGCTCGCACAGCCAGGCACCAGCAGACTGGGCACCGTGGGGAAGAAGCCGGGTGGAGGGAGCCGGGGTGACCATCAGATTTCCCTGGGGAGGGACAAGAGGACATGTCCTACCCCAAGGCTGTGGCCCCTGGATGCCGGGGTCCAACCCCAGCAGGTCCAGGGGTCCCCAAAGGTGTGGACGGAGTCGGCGAAGAAGGAAGGACACGGAGACAGTGTTCAGTTGATCAGCAGCCTAGCCAGGATCTCCAGCCAAGTTCTGGTCTGGATCTCCAGAGAGGTTCTGCTTAGGATCTCCAGCCAGGTTCTGTGTCCATGTTCTCTTGCTAGGTTCTCGAGGGTCTCCAGGTCAGTCACCAGGTTCTAGTCAGGTTCTCTTGCCAATTTCTGTAGTCAGGTTCAGTCCAGGATCTTTTGCCATGTTCTCTCCAGCAAAGTTCTGTCTCTAGGTTCTGTGTAGGTTCTGTCTTCTTTGGTTCTATCTTCTAAGTTCTGTCTACTAAGTTCTGTGTGTAGGTTCTGTCTTCTAAGTTCTGTCTTCTGAGTTCTGTCTTCTAAGTTCTGTGTTCTAAGTTCTGTGTTCTTACTGTCTTGTTGCATCTGTATTTATACCAGTTGATTCAATCCTATCAATCTCTATTACAAAGGTTAAGGGCGTTTCTTATCTCCATCCCAGGGAGTAAAGATTATGTAGCTTAAGCATGATTGTTCGTAGTTAAAGTGATTAATTACCTTCCTGACACTTAGTTAAGAGGTTTTATTCCCTCCCTAACTTCAGGGGAAAATCCCTACCTGGGGAAACAACCTTTCTCAGACACCTTGGTTAAAACACATAGTGCCAAGAAGGTAAGCAAACATATTAAGAACAGTATGCCAATATATGCCAGGTCCCTTGAAACAGCAAGCATGGACCGGCTCCCGGCACCTGACGTTTTGCACAGTGGCCATGGGCTCCTCCTGCCCCATTCCCCGCCCCATGCCCTGCCCCATGCCCTGCCCTGTGCGAGGCTAGGGTCACTCTCTTCCCAGGAACCCAGAGCCACAGGCTGCCTGACCACCTCGGCGGGGAGGGCCGCAGAAGGACCACCCCCAGGCCTTGAGGGCAGGACCTCCGCAGACATGGCCCTGGCACTGTGCAGCAGAGCCGCGGGGAGCCGCCCAGCCCCGGCCTGCACCCCAGGCGGAGCCTTCGAGCCCCTCGCGAGGCTCCTGTGCACCCCTGGACCAGGATCTGGGACTTGGGAAAGAAACCCCCAACCTTGGGAGGTGGCGTGAGGACTGGACGGCAGGACAGGCGGAGGAGCCCAGGGCACTGTTGGCAGACACATAACTGGACGGGTGCTCCAGGCACCTGGGCCCTGGGCCTGCAAATGCTCTGCCGGCCTGAAGGGCACAAGCCCTGCCCACAGACCCCTTGAAAGAAGCCTTCAGCCACCGGCACTTCACGGGTGGGGGCTCTGGTGCCTCCAGCACCCCAAGCCAAGGCCAGACCTCGGACTTGCAGGACTGAGCTGCGTGCGGCCCCAGATGCAGACACTGAGGTCCAAGTCCCTTGCGGTGGGTCCGCGCCCTCAGAGCGGTGGAGGGCTGCACGCGGTCCCAGCCAGAGGGGCATCGTCGGGCCCCGGTGACCACCGTGAACTCTGTGCTCGCACATCTGAGGCTGGAGGGCCGCTTCCCTCTAACCGTGGGCAGCACCATCTTTGGCCAATGATCAGGACACAGACGCAGCCAGAGAGGGAAGGAGGGCAGAGGCAGGGCCCTGAGGACAGCTGGCTCCTGGAAGCTACCCAGTGGGTGGATGGGGAGCCTGGGCTGGGCTGCTGACTGTGACCTGGTGACCTGTGCCCACACCCGTGCTGCAGGGGCAGGGAAAGGTGCCAACGAGGCTGGGGAAGCCAGGGGCCTTGGGGAGAGCCCAGCCCCAAGGGGGGCAGAGCACATGACAGCAGGTTCTCACTCTGTCCCCTGGGCCCTGGATGCCCGCCTCACCCACCCCACACACCCACGTGAGGGGCCCGCAGCCACATCTGGACTCCCCCTGGCCCCTTGACAGAGAAACCACCCAGAAAAAAGGGAACTTCGGGAAGCGAGCCCTGCACCAGTTTCAATCCCGTTCTTAGTCTTCGCAGGGCTGGGGTGGGGTGAGGGGGGTGGGGGAGTTCACATCTCAGGGGCCCAGCTACCAACACCTTGGACGTGGGGCTGTGGGCACAGCCACAGCCACCAGGAGCCACATGCAGTGGGGACAAGAGCAGTCAGGCTGGGGGCACTGCCTCCCCAGCCCCCGCCCGTGGTGAGTGGGGTCCCCACAGAGCAGGGCCGAGGGGGGGGAGAATGGAAGTGGCCCAAGGGGCTGAGGGGAGACCAGGTCCTCGGGGACCCACAGAGTGACCCTAGCAGCTGGGCCAGGGCCTGAGAGAAACGCAGCGAGCGGGAGGGCAGGAGCCCAGGGCTTCCCGTGCCAGAGGGCAGGGTGGGGGCAGCCATGGCAGGACCACACCTGGATGCACAGTGGTCTGAGCTGGGGAAGCAGGGTGGCGGCTGGCGTGGTGCAGCGGAGGAAGCGGACCCCCAGGGGCATGAGGGGCCTGTCCAGACCAATGGGCTGAGTCAGAGGCAGAGCCGGCAGCTCCATGGGTGTGGGCAGGTGACAGGGTCCAGGGCTCAGGTCCAGCAGCTGCTGGGCACAGGCAGCTGACCAGCAACTGGAAAGAGCAAAGGCCCAGAGGGGCTCCCAGTGGGGAGAGTGAGGAGGGGTCTGCTCTGGGGCAGGGCCGGGTGGGCAGAGGCTATAGGGGACAAGCTGGCCAGAGAGAGGGCGGGCGGCTGGAGGACTCCAGGAGGCAAGCACAGAGAGCGGCCGGGAAGGAAGGAGACTGGGAGTGGAGCTACTGGGCTGGAGGGCTCTGGGCGGGGCAGGAGGCCCGGCGGGCAGCTGGGGGGAGACACGCAGTGCAATGTGGAGCTCATCGACTTGTAGGAGGGGAACTTAGGGAAAAGGCAGGGCTTACAGCGAAACTTTTATGGGACACAACGCAAGTGAGCAGGCCAGCGGGAGGGCAGGAGCGGCCCAGGCCGGGTGGGGCTGGCAGAGCGATGCAGGTGAGCACGTGCAGGGGCGGAAGGTAGGGACTGCCCAGAGCTGGGTGGGAGCTGCCAGAGCTATGCAGTGAGCGGGGCAGGCGGGAGGGCAGAGCTGCCACGGGAGCTGGGTGGGAGCTGCCAGAGCTATGCAGGTGAGCAGGGGCAGGCGGGAGGGCAGGGAGCTCCAGGAGCTGGGTGGGAGCGGCCAGAGCTATGCAGGTGAGCAGGGGGCAGGCGGGAGGGCAGGGAGCTGCCCAGGAGCAGGTGGGAGCTGCCAGAGCTATGCAGGTGAGCAGGGGGCAGGGCGGGAGGGCAGGGAGCTGCCCAGGAGCTGGTGGGAGCTGGCAGATCTATGCAGGTGAGCAGGGGGCAGGCGGGAGGGCAAGGAGCTGCCCAGGAGCTGGGTGGGAGCTGGCAGCGCTATCAGGAGAGCAGGGGGCAGGCGGGAGGGCAGGATGCTGTCCAGGAGCTGGATGGGAGCTGGCAGAGCTATGCAGGTTAGCAGGGGGCAGGCGGGTGGCCAGGGGAGCTGCCCAGGAGCCTAGGTGGGAGCTGGCAGAGCTATGCAGTGAGCAGGGGGCTGGCGGGAGGGTAGGGAGCTGTCCACGAGCTGGGTGGGAGCTGGCAGAGCTATGCAGGTGAGCAGGGGGCAGGCGGAAGGGCAGGATGCTGCCCAGGAGCTGCATGGGAGCTGGCAGAGCTAGGCAGGTGAGCAGGTGGCAGGCAAGATGGCAGGGAGCTCCCCAGGAGCTGGGTGGGAGCTGGCAGAGCTATGCAGGTGAGCAGGGGGCAGGCGGGAGGGCAGGATGCTGCCCAGGAGCTGCATGGGAGCTGGCAGAGCTAGGCAGGTGAGCAGGGGGCAGGCAAGATGGCAGGGAGCTCCCCAGGAGCTGGGTGGGAGCTGGCAGAGCTATGCAGGTGAGCAGGGGGCAGGCGGGAGGGTAGGGAGCTCCCAGGAGCTGGGTGGGAGCTGGCAGAGCTATGCAGGTGAGCAGGGGGCAGGCGGGAGGGCAGGGAGCTGCCCAGGAGCTGGGTGGGAGCTGGCAGAGCTATGCAGGTGAGCAGGGGCAGGCAGGAGGGTAGGGAGCTCCCCAGGAGCTGGGTGGGAGCTGGCAGAGCTATGCAGGTGAGCAGGGGGCAGGCGGGAGGGCAGGGAGCTCCCCAGGAGCTAGGTGGGAGCTAGTAGAGCTATGCAGGTGAGCAGGGGGCAGGCGGGAGGCAAGGATCTGCCCAGGAGCTGGGTGGGAACTGGCCGAGCTATGCAGGTGAGCAGGGGGCAGGCGGGAGGGCAGGATGCTGCCCAGGAGCTGGTTGGGAGCTGGCAGAGCTAGGCAGGTGAGCAGGGAGCAGGCGAGAGGGCAGGGAGCTCCCCAGGAGCTGGGTGGGAGCTGGCAGAGCTATGCAGGTGAGCATGGGGCAGGCGGGAGGGCAGGGAGCTGCCCAGGAGCTGGGTGGGAGCTGGCAGAGCTATGCAGGTGAGCAGGGGGCAGGCGGGAGGGCAGGGAGCTGCCCAGGAGCTAGGTGGGAGCTAGTAGAGCTATGCAGGTGAGCAGGGGGCAGGCGGGAGGGCAGGGAGCTGCCCAGGAGCTGGGTGGGAGCTGGCAGAGCTATGCAGGTGAGCAGGGGGCAGGCAGGAGGGTAGGGAGCTCCCCAGGAGCTGGGTGGGAGCTGGCAGAGCTATGCAGGTGAGCAGGGGGCAGGCGGGAGGGCAGGGAGCTGCCCAGGAGCTAGGTGGGAGCTAGTAGAGCTATGCAGGTGAGCAGGGGGCAGGCGGGAGGCAAGGGATCTGCCCAGGAGCTGGGTGGGAACTGGCCGAGCTATGCAGGTGAGCAGGGGGCAGGCAGGAGGGTAGGGAGCTGCTCAGGAGCTAGGTGGGAGCTGGCAGAGCTATGCAGGTGAGCAGGGGGCAGGCAAGATGGCAGGGAGCTCCCCAGGAGCTGGGTGGGAGCTGGCAGAGCTATGCAGGTGAGCAGGGGGCAGGCGGGAGGGTAGGGAGCTCCCCAGGAGCTGGGTGGGAGCTGGCAGAGCTATGCAGGTGAGCAGGGGGCAGGGGGGAGGGCAGGGAGCTGCCCAGGAGCTGGGTGGGAGCTGGCAGAGCTATGCAGGTGAGCAGGGGGCAGGCAGGAGGGTAGGGAGCTCCCCAGGAGCTGGGTGGGAGCTGGCAGAGCTATGCAGGTGAGCAGGGGGCAGGCGGGAGGGCAGGGAGCTCCCCAGGAGCTAGGTGGGAGCTAGTAGAGCTATGCAGGTGAGCAGGGGGCAGGCGGGAGGCAAGGGATCTGCCCAGGAGCTGGGTGGGAACTGGCCGAGCTATGCAGGTGAGCAGGGGGCAGGCGGGAGGGCAGGATGCTGCCCAGGAGCTGCATGGGAGCTGGCAGAGCTAGGCAGGTGAGCAGGGGGCAGGCGAGAGGGCAGGGAGCTCCCCAGGAGCTGGGTGGGAGCTGGCAGAGCTATGCAGGTGAGCATGGGGCAGGCGGGAGGGCAGGGAGCTGCCCAGGAGCTGGTTGGGAGCTGGCAGAGCTATGCAGGTGAGCAGGGGGCAGGCGGGAGGGCAGGGAGCTGCCCAGGAGCTAGGTGGGAGCTAGTAGAGCTATGCAGGTGTGCAGGGGGCAGGCGGGAGGGCAGGGAGCTGCCCAGAGCTGGGTGGGAGCTGGCAGAGCTATGCAGGTGAGCAGGGGGCAGGCAGGAGGGTAGGGAGCTCCCAGGAGCTGGGTGGGAGCTGGCAGAGCTATGCAGGTGAGCAGGGGCAGGCGGGAGGGCAGGAGCTGCCCAGGAGCTAGGTGGGAGCTAGTAGAGCTATGCAGGTGAGCAGGGGGCAGGCGGGAGGCAAGGGATCTGCCCAGGAGCTGGGTGGGAACTGGCCGAGCTATGCAGGTGAGCAGGGGGCAGGCAGGAGGGTAGGGAGCTGCTCAGGAGCTAGGTGGGAGCTGGCAGAGCTATGCAGGTGAGCAGGGGGCAGGCGGGAGGGCAGGGAGCTGCCCAGGAGCTGGGTGGGAGCTGGCAGAGCTATGCAGGTGAACAGGGGGCATATGGGAGGGCAGGGAGCTCCCCAGGAGCTGGGTGGGAGCTGGCAGGGCTATGCAGGTGAGCAGGGGGCATATGGGAGGGTAGGGAGCTCCCCAGTAGCTTGTTGGGCGCTGGCAGAGCTCTGCAGGTGAGCAGGGGGTAGGCGGGAGGCAAGAGAGCTGCCCAGGAGCTGGGTGGGAGCTTGCAGAGCTATGCAGGTGAGCAGGGGGCAGGTGGGAGGGCAGGGCTGCCCAGGAGCCAGGAGAGCTGGGGTGAGCAGGTGGGTAGAGAGGGGTCATAGGGCAGTAGGTGGAGGGGCTCTGTTGGCCAGGGGCGCGGTGAAAAGGGGCAGGGTGCAGGTTAGGGGAGGACACAGCAGCCTTGGGCTGAGCCCTAGAGCCTGAGTACAAGAATTCGTGCTCCCAGCTGGGGTCAGGGCTGAGGCCCAGGGCAAGGGGCGGGCCAGAGCAGGCAGAAATGGGATTCAGATGGACAAAGGCAGAGACTGGGGGACAGGGGCCTGAGTGCCTCTGAATGTCCAGGAAGAGGCTTGGGGGGCGCAGAGAAGGCTGTGGGGAGCAGCTGGAGGGGTGAGCCTGCAGGGCACTGAGGGGGAGGGGGCCACTGGGCTGGGAGCCCTGAGCAGCAGGCAGAGTTTGTGCAGCTGAGCTGGGAGGAGCTCGGGGGTAAGGCAGGGCCTGAGCTAAAAGGATCCCAGGATGAGGTGGGGGTTGAGCAGGGAGCGGGAGGGACAGTGGGGCAGGGCCCTGGGCTGAGTGAGGGGCCACACAGGGGTCCGGGGCACTGACACCATGCAGAAGGCTGCAAGGCCAGTGCCAGGCTCCAAGCCATGCTGAGCGGGCCAGACTGAGGAAGGACCCGGCAGGAGGGCTCTGGACTAGGCAGGAGCTGGAGCAGCGAGGGGGCAGTGTGGGGGGTTGGTGCTGGGGGGGTGAGAAGGGGCAAGTGTGAAAGACTGCTGGGTGCAGAGGCGCAGCTGGGCTGGGGGCTGCAGGGAGGAGGGGAGGGCCTCCCATGGAGGGGGTCCGGGCGGGGGTGGGGACCAGGCAGTGCCTTGGCTGCAGGCTGACCCAGAAGGGCAGAGGGCTGTGGGCTGGAAGCAGAGCTTGGGCGGTGGGTGACAGAGGCTCACCCGCCTGAGGAAGGGCCTCCTCGCCCAGGGCAGGGCCTGGCAGGGCGACAGGACAGTGGGGTCAGGGGCCCTGGAAGCCAGGCAGAGCGAGAGCCACCAGTTAGGGCTCCAAGGCTCAGTGAGGACCAGGGGCTGGGGGCGGGGGCTCCAGCCCAGGCAGCGCTGGCTGAGCTGCTGGGCCTGACGCCCATGGCTCAGAGGTGGGAGGCCCTGGGTGGCAGACACACACGGGGTAGCCGGTCTGCAGGCTCCTGGGTCTTCAGGCTTCTGGGAGCCCATGGGCCACGGGCACGGGGCTCAGCGCTGTCCTGGGCCTGGGCCCCCGATGCCCTGCCCAGGCTTTGGTAGGGTGAGACCTGGCAGTCACGTGACCCATCTCTTACAGCCTCCACCACGGCCCCGTCGGTCTTCCCACTGTCCCCCAAGTGTGGCACCACGTCCGGCTCCACGGTGTCCCTGGGCTGCCTGGTCTCTGGCTACTTCCCGGAGCCCGTGACTGTGACCTGGAACTCGGGCTCCCTGACCAGCGGCGTGCACACCTTCCCATCCGTCCTCCGCTCGGGCCTCTACTCTATGAGCAGCATGGTGACGGTGCCCGCCAGCTCGTCCACCCAGACCTTCATCTGCAACGTAGCCCACCCGGCCAGCAGCACCAAGGTGGACAAGACCGGTGAGCACATGCCACGGAGAGACATCTGCTAGAGACAAACCACAGAGCAGGGATGCCTGCCCCAGCCCAGGGCAGTGGCGGGAGTGCAGACGGTCTCCCCAAGCTGGGGTGGGGTCCTCTTGGTATCACCACCAGGCCCAGGGTGGGCACAGGCTCTGGAGCCACAGAGGCGGGTGCTGGACTCAGACCTGACAAACTCTGGCCCTGACCTAAGCCCCTGCCCAGGGCCGTGCCCTGCGGGGCCCCGGTAACCCTCAGCCTGCTCTCTCTGCAGTGCCCTTAACTGTCGGACCTCCCCCCACCTCTTGCCCGCCTCACACATGCCCACGTGAGTATCCACCCCAGGAGGAGGCCCACGGGGAGTGCCTGCCCAGGGAAGGCCTGCCGAGGGCTGACCCCTGGCCACTGTCTCCCCCCAGCTTGTGAGAACCCGGGAGGGCCCTCGGTCTTCATCTTCCCCCCGAAACCCAAGGACACCCTCATGATCTCCCGGACGCCCGAGGTCACGTGCATGGTGGTGGACGTGGCCCCAGATGACCTGGATGTCGAGTTCACCTGGTACATGGACGGCAACCAGATGACCAAGAAGACGGTGAAGGCGGAGCAGGAGCAGTTCAACAGCACCTACCGTGTGGTCCACTCCTACGCCATCACGCACCAGGACTGGCTGAAGGGCAAGAAGTTCAAGTGCAAGGTCAACAACAAGGCCATCCCCTCCCCCATCGAGAGGACCATCTCCAAGGCCATAGGTGGGGAGCAGACAGGTGGGCCCGGGGCTGGGGCGGGGGGCCAGCCCTCCACCTGGGAGTGACCGTCTGTGCTGACCTCATCCCACAGGGCAAGTCCAGGCGCCGCAGGTGTACGTCCTGGGTCCACACTCGGACGAGTTGGCCAGGGACAAGGTCAGCGTGACCTGCCTGGTCAAAGACTTCTTCCCGCCGGACATCAGCGTGGAGTGGCAGAGCAACGGGCAGCCAGAGTCCGAGACCAAGTACTCCTCGACCCCGCCCCAGAAGGACCAGGAGGGCTCCTTCTTCCTGTACAGCAAGCTCACCGTGGACAAGGCCCGGTGGCAGCGGGGGGCCCCCTTCACGTGCGAGGTGATGCACGAGGGCCTGCACAACCACTACGCCCAGAAGACCGTCTCCTGGAACCCGGGTAAATGAGCAGCGCCCGGCGCCCGGCGACCCCCCATGTACATACCCTCGGCACCCAGCATTCAATAAAGCACCCAGCACGGCCCTGGGACCCTGCGACACTGTCGTGGTTCTTTCCGGGGTGGAGGTCAGGCTGGCTCGGAGGCTGGTCGGCACCGCTAGGGCGGGACCCAGAGCCTGTGGGTCTGCAGGCGTCAGGGCAGGACAGCTTCCGCACGGCCGGCAAGGACTCGGTCAGGAAATGTGGACAGGGGGCAGGAGATGCCCCTCAGGGACAGGAGGGCCCAGGAGGGTGCCCGCCTCTGAGCAAGCCCCGCTGTGGGCAGTGCCTGGTCTCCGAGTGCCTTGCCCACTGGTCCCCAGGGCTCCTGGACGTGGCTCTGTGCCCGCACAGGAGGACACTGGCCCGTGGTGTGGGACAGGCCCTCCGTGCCCTCGAGACCAAGCCTCCTACCCTCCCTCGGGCGAGGGGGCTCTGTGGGCCATGTCCCACCTGGGGCCAGGCCTGTCCGCTCAGGAGGACACGCACCCGATTGCCCCACAGAGGCAGAGGCGGGCAGTCCTGGGGTCCCGGGGAAAGGCTGTCAGAGGCCACAGGGACACTGAGCCAGACCGTGGAAAACAAGGCACTTCACAGATCAGCACCAGCTCACATGGCCACCTTCACACACACACACACACACACACACACACACACACACACACACACACACACACACGTACGCGTGCATGCACACACGAACACTCAGACATACACACATGAACACACAGGCATGACCGCATGTGTGTACACATGTATGCACACAGAGACAGGCCTTACACTGCAGGCCTCCCACAAAGCACCCTGCACAGGCCCAGACCAGAGAACAGAGCGGGTCCTGGGAACCCCCACCATGGAAACCAGCCTGCCCCCACCCAATGCCCCAGTGGTCACTGACCGGCTCAGGCACCCTTCCCCCTCCCCAGGCACCCACACCCTCCCCACACACAGAAGTCCTCCCCAGGCACCCAGGCCAGCCTCGGGCCCACCCACTTTCCTGCACTCCCAACTCAGACCTGGCGCTGGCCCTTCCCAGGCAGGGCCCTCCTGCCCTTGACCTCAGGGGGAGCAGGCAGAGGGGTGGTGGACGAGAGAGCAGGCTGGATTGAGGGTCAGCCCACCTTGTCCCCCAGGGCCCCGTGCAGGTGGCAGAGAGGAGAGGGCACCCCAGCCAAGCTAAGACCGGGGCTTGAGGCAGAGGACGGGGGAGCCGGGCACCATGGGCCCTACCTGGCCAGGCCCCCCCCCCCTGTTCACAGAGAACCCCTGTGCCAGCCCCCAAGCCGCCAGCCCCCACGGCCCCACACTGACCACCCCCCCTCCCTGTGCAGAGCTGCTCCTGGACGAGAGCTGTGCCGAGGCCCAGGACGGGGAGCTGGACGGGCTGTGGACCACCATCTCCATCTTCATCACCCTCTTCCTGCTCAGCGTGTGCTACAGCGCCACCGTCACGCTCTTCAAGGTGGGCCGCCCTATGTGCCCCACGCGCCACACGCCCCACACGCCCCACGCACCCCATGCCGTGTCCACGTGTTCCACACTGTGCCCCACACACCCCACATGCCCCACGCACCCCATGCCGTGTCCACGTGTTCCACACTGTGCCCCACACGCCCCACATGCCCCACACACCCCATGCCGTGTCCACGTGTTCCACACTGTGCCTCACACACCCCACATGCCCCACATACCCCATGCCGTGTCCACGTGTTCCCCACTGTGCCCCACCCGCCCCACATGCCCCACACACCCCATGCCGTGTCCACGTGTTCCACACTGTGCCCCACACACCCCACATGCCCCACGCACCCCATGCCGTGTCCACGTGTTCCACACTGTGCCCCACACGCCCCACATGCCCCACATACCCCATGCCGTGTCCACGTGTTCCACACTGTGCCCCACACGCCCCACATGCCCCACACACCCCATGCCGTGTCCACGTGTTCCACACTGTGCCCCACACACCCCACATGCCCCACATACCCCATGCCGTGCCACGTGTTCCACACTGTGCCCCACACGCCCCACATGCCCCACACACCCCATGCCGTGTCCACGTGTTCCACACTGTGCCCCACACACCCCACATGCCCCACATACCCCATGCCGTGTCCACGTGTTCCACACTGTGCCCCACACGCCCCACATGCCCCACACACCCCATGCCGTGTCCACGTGTTCCACACTGTGTCCCACACGCCCCACATGCCCCACATACCCCATGCCGTGTCCACGTGTTCCACACTGTGCCCCACACACCCCACATGCCCCACACGACCCACACGCCCCACGTGCCCATGCCCCACATGCCCCAGGCTGTCCCAACGCGTCCCACACCATGCCCATGCACCCCATGTGCCCCATGCTGTCCCCACGCAGTGCCCACGTTGTCCCCATGTACCTCACACCATGCCCATTGCACCGCATATGCCCCACAGTCCCCACATCCCCCATGCACCCCTCACTGCCCCTCACTGTCCCTCACTGCCCCTCACGGTCCCTCACGGCCCCTCACTGCCCTCGCTGCCCCTCGCTGCCCCTCACTGTCCCTCGCTGTGTCCCTTACTGTCCCTCGCTGTGTCCCTTACTGTCCCTCACTGTGTCCCTCGCTGTCCCTCACTGTCCCTCGCTGTCCCTCGCTGTCCCTCACTGTCTCTCGCTGTCCCTCGCTGTCCCTCACTGTGTCCCTCACTGCCCCTCACTGTCCCTCACTGTCCCTCGCTGTCCCTCGCTGTCCCTCACTGTCTCCCTCACTGTCCCTCACTGCCCCTCACTGCCCCTCACTGCCCCTCACTGTCCCTCGCTGTCCCTCGCTGTCCCTCGCTGTCCCTCACTGTGTCCCTCACTGTCCCTCTCTGCCCCTCACTGTCCCTCACTGTCCCTCGCTGTCCCTCGCTGTCCCTCACTGTGTCCCTCACTGTCCCTCACTGCCCCTCACTGTCCCTCACTGCCCCTCACTGTCCGTCGCTGTCCCTCACTGCCCCTCACTGTCCGTCGCTGTCCCTCACTGCCCCTCACTGTCCGTCGCTGTCCCTCACTGTCCCTCACTGTCCCTCACTGCCCCTCACTGTCCCTCGCTGTCCCTCACTGCCCCTCACTGTCCGTCGCTGTCCCTCACTGCCCCTCACTGTCCCTCGCTGTCCCTCGCTGTCCCTCACTGTCCCTCACTGTCCCTCGCTGTCTCCCTCACTGTCCCTCACTGTTCCTCACTGCCCCTCACTGCCCCTCACTGTCCCTCACTGCCCCATGCTGCCCCCCCGCTGGCCCCACCTGGCCCCGGCCCCGCAGAGGCTAACCTGGCCCGGCCCCTGCAGGTGAAGTGGATCTTCTCCTCGGTGGCCGACCTGAAGAGGACCATCGTCCCCGACTACAGGAACATGATCGGACAAGGGGCCTAGCCTCGCTCCCAGCCAGCGGCCGGCTGCCCGGACCGCCCGCCGGTCCACCTGCTCCACCTGCTGCAACGCCTGCTCCTCCGCCCTCTGACCTCGCTGGCCTCTGACCTCTCCACCCTCGGACCACAGGCCCCCCGGGCCAGCACCACGCCCTCTGGCCTCACGGCCATCACAGGCTGCATCCTGCCCAGGACCTGCCCCTTTGGAGAACCGAGTGGACAGCAGGTGCTCCAACCTGAGCTGACGGACACCCGCCAGCCCCTCCACGCAGCCACCAAGATGCCCGGGGTCATGTGCCCACCAAGGCCTCCGGGCAGCGTGTCCCTCCCCAGGACATCACTGCCTGGGCCTCATGCGAGTCCGTCCTGAGGGGCGGAGGCCTGGCGCCCAGTGTGTGGGCAGCAGCAGGAGGCAGGGCTCCCGGGAGGTGCTGAGTCCCCCCGGGAAGCTCCACGCGGGCCCAGATGGCCACTCGGCCGCCTCCACCAGAGCACACCTCAGAGCCGGCCTGGCCCGGGGGCAGGGCGGTACCACCCAGGGAGGGTGGGCCTCGGCCCACAAGCCCCTGGGGCGGCGCCTGGTGACCAGGTCCCAGCAGGGGTGACCCAGCCTCCGTGGACAGAGGGGGACATGGGTGTGGAGGTGCAGTGCCCAGAGGGCCCAGGTCGGAGCACAGGCCTGAGTCCCGCCCCTCGCCCTCCCAGGTAGCCCCTGTTCCGGGCGGGGGGCCGAGAGCTGAGAGCTGAGAGCACTGGACCGAGAACGCCGCCCGCCATGGGGACCGGCAGTGGACAGACGTCCGATCCCCAGGGAGCGCCCCTCGGCACTGGGAAGGAGGGAGACACGGGCCCCGTGAGGCAGGGGGCGCGCAGAGAGATGATTCCAAGGAAATGCACCTTGTAGCTTGGGCCGCTTTCGTTTTCTATTTAATTTTCTGGAGCCCGTTCATTGTCTCTACTGGTGTGTGCGTGTGTGGTGCATGTGTTTAACGATAATAAAAGCTCCTTACACATCCCTGTCTCACGGAATCTCCCTGTGCTGGCGCCTCGTGAGTCCACAGCCCATGGAGGCGTGGGGGGGGGGGGGCACCCACTCCCAGAGCCACAACCTGCCCCCCTCTGCCTCCGTCTCCTCGCATCCCCCCGCCGCCCACTTCAGCCAGCATCCAGCCCAGCGGGTGAGGAAGGCGGCCCAGAAACCAGGGAGCACGGGAGCCACACAGGCGTCCAGGGCTGGGGCAGGACTGGCCGTGGCCAGAAACAAGACACTGACTGGGGGTCAGTCAGCACCCACAGGAAGCGGGAACAGCACCCAAAGACTCTCCCCGTCCTGGAGCCCGGGTCCCAGGGCAGGTGCTGCGGGCGGGCTCCCCGAGGCCTCTCTCCTGGGCGTGTGGACGGCCACCTTCCCCTGGTCCTCACGTGGCCGTCCCTCCGCATGTCCGTGTCCCATCTCCTCTTCTTTTTCTTCTTCTTTTTTTAAGCTTCTTTTTTATTATTATTGATTTCAGAGAGGGAGAGGGAGAGAGAAATAGACACATCAATAACAAGAGAAAATCATTGATTGGCTGCATCCTGCAAGCCCATACAGGTCCTCACACACAAACAGTTCCTCACACACACAGGTCCTCACACACACACACAGAGGTCCTCACACACACACACAGGTCCTCACACACACACGACCTCTCACACACACATGACCTCTCACACACATACACACACACAGGACCACACACACACACACACACACACACACACACACACACACAGGTCCTGACACACACACACACAGGACCTCACACACACACACACACACACACACACACACACACAGGTCCTCACACACACACACACACACACACACACACACAGGACCTCACACACACACACACACAGGTCCTCACACACACACACACAGGACCTCACACACACACACACACACACACAGGTCCTCACACACACACATGACCTCACACACACACACACACGTCCTCACACACCAACAGGTCCTCACACACACACACACACACACGTCCTCACACACACACAGTTCCTCACAGACACAGGATCTCACACACACACACACACACACACACAGGTCCTCACACACACACAGGACCACACACACACACACACACACACACACAGGACCTCACACACACACACACACAGGTCCTCACACACACACACACGGGTCTTCACACACACACACACACAGGACCTCACACACACACACACAGGACCTCACACACACACACACAGGTCCTCACACACACACACACAGGACCTCACACACACACACACAGGTCCTCACACACACACACACAGGACCTCACACACACACACACACACACAGGTCCTCACACACCAACAGGTTCACACACACACAGGTCCTCACACACACACACAGAGGACCTCACACACACACACACACACACACACAGGACTGCCGGGGTCCAGCCCCAGCAGGTCCAGGGGTCCCCAAAGGTGTGGACGGAGTCGGCAAAGAAGGAATGACACGGAGACAGCGTTCAGTTGATCAGCAGCCTAGCCAGGATCTCCAGCCAAGTTATGGTCTGGATCTCCCGTGAAGTTCTGCTTCGGATCTCCAGCCAGGTTCTGTGTCCATGTTCTCTTGCTAGGTTCTCTAGGTTCTCCAGCCAGGTTCTGTAGCCATGTTCCCTCGCTAGGTTCTCCAGCCAGGTTCAGTCACCAGGTTCTAGTCAGGTTCTCTTGCCAATTTCTGTAGTCAGGTTCAGTCCAGGATCTTTTGCCATGTTCTCTCCAGCGAAGTTCTTCTGTCTCTAAGTTCTGAGTAGGTTCTGTGTTCTAAGTTCTGTCTTGTTACATCTGTATTTATACCAGTTGATTCAATCCTATCAATCTCTATTACAAAGGTTAGGGCGTTTCTTATCTCCATTCCAGGGAGTAAAGATTATGTAGCTTAAGCATGATTGTTCCTAGTTAAAGTGATTAATTACCCGCCTGGCACTTAGTTAAGAGGTTTTATTCCCTCCCTAACTCAGGGGAAAATCCCTACCTGGGGAAACAACCTTTCTCAGAGAGGAGACCTTGGTTAAAACACATAGTGCCAAGAAGGTGAGCAAACATTTTAAGAACAGTATGCCATATATGCCAGGTCCTTTGAAACAGCAAGGATGGACCGGCTCCCGACAAATTCCCCCTTTTTTATTTTTTAAAAGCAGGCATTAAAAAGAAAAACCCCAAATGCTCTCTTGTATCCATTTCAAGAATAGGACTGGCGCTTTCCGCTATTACCTGAGTCCTGATCTATCACCCCAGGGAGAGCTTGCCAATCCTGCACTTTCCCGGGGTGGAAAGGCTGCAGTGGGGTTAAGGATAAGGCTCCTTGGGCCTACCTCCTCCCATGCCTTTACATTTACCTTTCCTTCCTCAGAAAAGCATGGACATACTTCTTGTATAAAACGTTCTGTCTGACTGGGAGTAACTTTAATTCCTCTGCTAGCAAGCATATGTGTTAAAAGATCAATACAGAGTCATATTTCTTTAGACTCAGTATGGCACATCTTCTTAATCTAAAGATCAATACAGAGTCTTCTTTCTTTGGACTCAGTATGGCACATCTTCTCAATCTAAGTTCTGTACTATCCACCTTCTTACCCTACTTATCCTCTATAGGGGGGTCTGAAGTACCCTGGTGGAGTCCTATCCGTCCCGAATGTGGGGGTTCTCAATGGGGGGGGGCTTACCTAGGGGAATCCTGTTCCAGGGGTTCCCAAAGGTGTGGACGGAGTCGGCGAAGACTATCCACCCTCTTCCTATGGTGGAGTCCGATCCGTCCCGATTGTGGGGCAAAGACTATCCACCCTCTTCCTATGGTGGAGTCCGATCCGTCCCGATTGTGGGGCAAAGACGATCCACCCTCTTCCTACGGTGGAGTCCTATACATCCTGAGTGTGGGGCGCTTACCTAGGGGTCCCTGTTCGGGCGCCATATGCCGGGGAAACAACCTTTCTCAGAGACCTTGGTTAAAACACATAGTGCCAAGAAGGTGAGCAAACATTAAGAACAGTATGCCATATATGCCAGGTCCCTTGAAACAGCAAGGATGGACCGGCTCCCAGCACAGGACCTCACACACACACACACACTCAGGTCCTCACACACACACACACACACACACACACACACACAGGACCTCACACACACACACACACACACACACAGGTCCTCACACACACACACACACACACACACACACACACACACACACAGAGTTCCTCACAGACACAGGACCTCACACACACACACACACACACAGGTCCTCACACACACACACACAGGTCCTCACACACACACACACACACACAGGTACACACACACACACACACACACACACGGGCACCACCCACTAGGGCCCACTGTGCACTTTGTGCCCAAGCCTTTGCTCAGGCCCCCTTCTCCAGTGCCCCCGTCTCCGGTGCCCCCCTTCTCCCGTGCCCCCCTCCCGTGCCCCCCTTCTCCCGTGTCCCCTTCTCCGGTGCCCCCCTTCCCCCGTGCTCCCCTTCTTCCGTGCCCCCCTTCTCCCATGCCCCCCTTCTCTGGTGCCCACCTCCCGTGCCCCCTTCTCCCGTGCACCCCTTCTCCCATGCCCCCCTTCTCTGGTGCCCACCTCCCGTGCCCCCCTTCTCTCGTGCCCCCCTTCTCCCGTGCACCCCTTCTCCCGTGCACCCCTTCTTCCGTGCCCCCCTTCTCCGGTGCCCCCCTTCTCCCATGCCCCCCTTCTCCCGTGCCCTCCTTCTCCAGTGCCCCCCTCCGTGCACCCAGCAGCTCCCGCCCTCCTCCTGCTCCGGGCCCCTCCCCAGCACCCAGGAGAGCACAGCACACTCCATCCCACGCTCACTTGGCCTCCCGCTCCCAGGAGCCCCTGCGGCAGCCTCCCAGGACCCCCTGCGGCCGCCTCCCAGGACCCCCTGCGGCCGCCTCCCAGGACCCCCTGCGGCCGCCTCCCAGGACCCCCTGCGGCCGCCTCCCAGGACCCCCTGCGGCTCTGGCAGGGCCAGTCTGGCTACGCGGTGCCTGCGGAGTCCCGGGTGAAGGCGCAGGACCCGCCTGGGCAGAGCGGACGGGGCGGGGACGGGGTCAGAGCATCCGGGGCTGTGGCTGCGGACCCCCACCTTCCGCGTCCTCCATCAGCCTTCCTGCCGGCGGCTCTGTCCGTCTGTCTGTTTTAGAGACAGTTTCAAAGAGGAGCAGGGATGCGCTGTGGGGGCCCCTGGACACGGACACCCCAAGGCCACTGGGAGCGCGGTTAGCGGGAGCGCCCTCCCGGCACAGGCCCGGCTTCGGGTCAACCCTGCGGCCGCCGATCCATGTTTCCCGCCCTCCGCCCTCTTTCTCTAAAGTCATAAAAACGCACCCTCGGGCGAGGGTTGAAAGCGAAAAGCCTGTTGCTTGTGCGCAGACACCCGGCCACACACTCGGCTGCTTCCGGGGAGCGCGTGCGGCTGGCAGGCGGTGGGGCCATGGGGCCGGGGGGGCCAGTAGGGCTGGGGGGCTGGTGGGGCCGGGGGGCCGGGGGGGGGGCCGAGGGGGGCCGGGGGGCCGGGGGGGACGCGGGAGGAGGCCCGTGACCGACGCCTGGCTCTCGCCCGGACAGTGCGCGGGGAGCCTGGCGGGCGATGCCGGAGGGAGATGGAGGAGCCGGCTGCCTGGCTGACTCGTTTGGAACCGGGATCTTGGCCAGTGGACTTCGGGTCGGGGTCCGGAGATCGCCCTCCATGTGGGGTGGGTCCCAAGGCCCAGTGGCCTCCGAAGACAGCCCTGGCTTGGCTCCGTGGGTAGAGCGCCAGCCCATGGGCTGAAAGGCCCAGGTTGGATGCCAGTCGAGGGCAGGTACCTTGGTTGCAGGCTCAATCCCTGGCCCTGGTCAGGGCGAGTGTGGGAGGCAACCATTCCGTGTGTCTCTCTCACATGGATGTCTCTCCCCCTCCCTTGCACTCTCTCTAAAATTCAGTGGAAACAATATCCTCGGGTGAGGATTAACAGCAAACAAGAAGACATGGTACCCAGACGCTGGGGAGGAGGCCGTGGGCAGACAGAGACGGAAGCTGGGGTGGTGTCCAGCCCCAGACCCCCCCCCCGCCCCCGCTGAGCGCCGCCCACCCGCTCACACCCAGCTGACTATGGCTTCCAGATGCGCGCACCACATTGTGGCGGAGCCGCAGGCACTCGGACGCTGGCAGCCGAGTTCTCCAACCTCCGAAGGCACAAGCCTGAGGGGAAATAGCTGATGGACTCGACCTTGGAAACCAGGAATGTCTGTTAAGTAGCAAAGATCTGGACGCAGCCCAAGGGCCTGCCGGGGTCCAACCCCAGCAGGTCCAGGGGTCCCCAAAGGTGTGGATGGAGTCGGCAAAGAAGGAATGACACAGAGACAGCGTTCAGTTGATCAGCAGCCTAGCCAGGATCTCTAGCCAGGATCTCCAGCCAAGTTCTGGTCTGGATCTCCAGAGAGGTTCTGCTGTTTATTGTCTTGTTACATCCGTATTTATACCAGTTGATTTTAATCCTGTCAATTTCTATTACAAAGGTTAGGGCGTTTCTTATCTCCATTCCAGGGAGTAAAGATTATGTAGCTTAAGCATGACTGTTTGTAGTTAAAGTGATTGACTACCCGCCTGGCGCTTAGTTAAGGAGTTTCATCCCCTCCCTGACTTCAGGGGAAAATCCCTACCTGGGGAAACAACCTTTCTAGGAGAGGTGACCTTGGTTAAAACACACAGCGCTAAGGGGAGCAAAACATATTAAGAACAGTATGCTATATATGCCAGGTCCCTTGAAGCATATGCTGTGCAGATGTTTCTTTCCTGCAGCGACTGTGTCAAGCAGCAAGGATGGACCAGCTTCCGGCAAGGGCCCATCAGCAGACGAGTGGACAAAAGGCTGTGGTGCATTTATGCCACGGAATCCTATGCAGCAGTAAAAGGGTAGGATCTCTTGCCCTTTGGGACAGCATGGAGGGACCTGGAGAGTATCACGCTAAGTGAAATAAGCCAGTCAGAGAAAGACAAGTGTCACAGGATCTCACTCATATCTGGAACCTAATTAACAAAATGATGAACGGGTGGACCCAGAGACATGGAACAGAGTGTGAAATCTCAGAGGGAAGGTGGGGAGGGAGGGAGGATGGGTGGTGGGTGATCAACCAAAGACCTTGTATGCATATGTGCATGGCCCATGGACACAGACAGTGCGGGGTGAGGGCTGGCGGCGGGGACGGGGGTGGCCTAGAGGGGGGTCAATGGGGAAATGGGGACATGTGTAAACTTTCAACAATAAAGATTTTATAAGTAAAAAAATGGATTTCTGTTGAATGAAGGACGTGATAAGCAACGCGAAGGGACGGGGACTAACGGGGAGAAGGTCGTCCCATGTTTAACAGTCAACAGGATCAGCGTTCGGAATGGCTGCCTTGCGGATTCCCAAGACCCTGTCAATGAGCTCACGTGTCTCTTGTGTCACACCGTCTTCGTGCCTCTTGTGTCACACCGTCTTCGTGTCTCTTGTGTCACACCGTCTTCGTGCCTCTTGTGTCACACCGTCTTCGTGCCTTTTGTGTCACACCATCTTCGTGCCTCTTGTGTCACACCGTCTTCGTGCCTCTTGTGTCACACCGTCTTCGTGCCTCTTGTGTCACACCGTCTTCGTGTCTCTTGTGTCACACCGTCTTCGAAGGGCTCCGGTCATTGGACGTGGGACCCATCCCAGATCGAGTGTGATCTCAAGATCCTGAACTGATTTTCACTGGCAAAGACCCTGTTTCCAAACGGTCAACGGGGCAGACTGAAGCCAGCGCCATCAGCTCCCCTGCTCCATCTCCCACGGGTGTTGGCGGCCTCAGGATGTAAAATGCCAAGAACACCTTTAGGAAACGAGGTGAGGACAAGCACAGGGAGGGACCGGGGCGCCCGAGTGCCTGCAGACTCACAAGCTCATAGCAATGGGAGCGCGTTAGCAATGGGAGTGCGTTAGCAATGGGAGCTCACTAGCAACCGGAGCACATTAGCAATGGGAGCATTGGTATCAGGGCAGGAGGCACGCTGCAGCCTCCAGGTGACGCTTTTTGGAGATCGGGACACAGTACCCTCCCGGGGAAAGCAGGGCCCACGTGCAGGGCCAACCTGGGGGCAAAGGATAGCAGGAAGCCTGGGGTGGCTCCGTCAGTGCCAGGAAGGAGGTGGGCCCGGGGAGACACATGCACATGTGCATGTCACACAGCTGCAGGCACCCACACACATGTATGAACACAGGAAACACATAATACAGACACATGCATCCACACATGTGCACAGAGAGATCTGTTCATGTCACACAGGTGCACACACATGCACACCTGTATGCACACAGTGAAGCACATGCATATCATACAGATGCTTACACATGTGCACACTAACAGACACATGCATGCATGCCTCATAGACACACCCACGTGTGGTTATATACATGCCCGCAAATAGAAAGACACGTGCATCACACTCGTGCATATGTATGTGCACTGGAGACATGTGCTTTGTGTGTGCCACACCAAGTCACACACTCACATACATGTGCACAGCTGAGACAGCTCGTTTAGATGCAGGCTCTGTCCTGAGTCCTGAAGGACAGGAGCGACAGTGTGGGCCCATAGCAGGGCGTCTGAGGAAGCTGGGGCATGTGCCTGCTGGGTAAGGGGCATCTAGGCCCAGCCCTGGAGAGGGGGCGGCTCAAGCGCGATTCCTCAGGGCTGGGCAGGGAGACAGCCCCAGGAACGAAGGAGCAGCAGACCCGTGTGCTCAGAGCAGAGTGGGAGACATTCTCCTCCAAGTCCAAGGGCCAGCAGGCAGCCCAGGCTGGAGATAGAGCCACCACCATAGGCCCCTGCCCACCTCCACAGTCCCCGCCCACCTCCACAGGCCCCTGCCTCCACAGGTCCCTGCTCGCCTCCACAGGCCCCCGCCCCCCTCCACAGGCCCCCTGCCCACCTCCACAGGCCCCGCCCACCTCCACAGTCCCCTGCCCGCCTCCACAGGCCCCTGCCCCTGCCAGCAGCCCAGCGCCATCTGGGAGGTAAGGATAAAGCCAGGTGGCTGGCTTGGCGAGGAGGCCCAGGCCCCATGTGCCCACAGCCCAGGGAGAATGGACAGGGGTGCCGGGGACCTGGGCAGCTGAGCGGAGCCCTAGCCCCACACATCCCCACGTGTGAAGACTGCAGGGTCGGGCACCACCAGCCAAGCCCACCAAGCAGCCCAGCTGGGCTCTGCCTGCTCCAGGCCCGTGGTTTCTCTCAGAATCACGGGCTCTTCCAAGGAATTCCATATTCCCCACTGCCTCCCACGCAGCACCCGTCCCCGGAGCCAAGCATGGGGTGTGACAGGCCAGGACGGTCTGCCCAGGAGCCAAGGCTCCTGCTGTGTCCTACGCTGTGCACCTGTCAGCCCCCAGCCCAGCCTTCCATGCAGCAGCCCTTTCAGGGTGTTCCCAGGCCACGGGCCCTGACAGAGCCACCTGCACACAGCCTCTTGCATGGGAATGACTGGCCCAGGGGGACAGGGTTCTGATGTGTCCTCTCTAAGCCTCTGCACCCCACACTGGCAAGCTGGACCACCAGGTTCCCTTGTGTGGGGGGGGTGGAAGCCACAGGGGGTTCTGAGGACACAGAGGCCTGTGGGACACGTCCACGGCGGGAAGGCACACACCAGAATGTCGACGGTGGGCCGGCCGCCCCAGCAAGTCAGAGTCGATGCCGTGGGCACCTCCAGGCCATCCCTCTGCCCCACACCCTTGGTGGCCACACACGGCAGGGCGGTGGCAGGGTGGCCCCAGGCTTCAGTGGCTGGAGGGGTCTTGTAGCCAACCTCACAGTCACCACCAGCCTCCCCCCAGGCCCCTCCGGCCCCCACGGGCCAGACCACCGGTCACAGCCCTGACAGGGACTCCAGCTCCAGGACATGACATGGGAGCAGCTCATGGGTGATGGTCCCCCGCCAGCATGTGCCAGGGCCCAGAGAGAGACAGGGTCTTCCTGTCCCTAACGACCCGTGCCCTGCACATGCACCCCGGGAGCCCGCTCCTCCAGGGGCAAGACCCATGACGGAGGGCAGCATGCCCGCGGGAGGCCCTGTCCACATGTCGGTGCATGGCCCACCAGGCCTCCACTCTCAGCACAAACACTCACAGCCCTTCCCTCCTAGGGAGCAGGCCACGCGGGCGGTGGAGGGGACACGGCATGGGCAGGAGAGCACCTGCGTGGGGGCCTCGCTGGTGGCGGTTGCTCCATCGACTTCCCAAGAACAGAGAGGCAGGAACTGCCAGGGCTGGGGCCGGGGGTTCCCATTCCATTTTTAGCTGAGAGCGATGAGGCAGAGCTCCCCTCCCCCCGCACCCCCCCTATTGTCTGGATGTAAAAATAACAACAATGGTTTCTACAGGTTGAGCACCCCGGCCTGGGAGCCTTTCCCTGGAGCCACGGGCGGTGGGGATGGGCCACCCCGTCGCCACACCAGTCACCTCGCCAGTCAGGCACCTGACCGAGGCCCCAGCATTCCAGGTACCTCCGCTCCAGGGCTGGCCCAGGCAGGAGTGAGGGACAGGCAGCCCAGGCTACTGCCCAGAAGAGGACACCTGGATGGTCACCCAGCCTGGCCCTGGCCTCCTGGTCACTGCTTACCGCTCAGCTGTCCCTCCCCTGAATGGGGACACAGGGAAGCAGGACCAAGACCAGAGCCAACCTAGAAGAGACAGGGAGCCAAGAGCCTCCGTGGAACAGGCTGGGCAGGGCCCAGGCCCAGGGCAGGGAACATGCAGAGGGTACGGGCAGTGGGCTGCGCGGAGATCAGCCAGTAGGGCGGCCCCAGCCCAGGCCAGGGGACACAGCAGGCCAGCCTGGGGCACAGCCTCCGGCCTGGGCTGGGCTGAATAAGGGGTCTGTGCTGGGGTGGGCTAGGCCAAAGGTGACTGAAGTGGACAGAGTTGTTTAAAAGGAGATGGGGTATCCTCGGCTCAGCTGGGCCAGGTTGGTCAATCTGGGCTGTGCTTGGCCATGCTGGGCTGGGCTGGGCTGGACTAAGCTGGGCTAGACTGGGCTGTTCCCTGCTGAGCTTGAGCTTTAGCTGAGCCAAGATGAATTGGGCTGAGCTGGGCCCACCAACCTCATGGGATGGGATGGGCTGAGTGAACTGGGCTGAGCTGGGCTGAACTGGGCTGAGCTGGTCTGGGCTGAGCTGAGCTGGGCTGAGCTGAGCTGGGCTGGGTTGATCTGGGCTGAGTGAACTGGGCTGAGCTGAATTGGGCTGAGAGAGGCTGAACTGGGTTGAGCTGGGCTGTGCTGAACTGGGCAGAGCTGGGCTGAGCTGAGCTTGGCTGGTCTGGGCTGAGCTGGGCTAAACTGGGCTGAGCTGGGCTGAGTGAACTGGGCTGAGCTGGGCTGAATTGGGCTGAGCTGGGCTTGGCTGGGCTGGGCTGGGCTGAGCTGAGTGAACTGGGCTGAGCTGGGCTGAGTGAACTGGGCTGAGCTGGGCTGGGCTGGGCTGGGCTGGGCTGAGCTGAGTGAACTGGGCTGAGCTGGGCTGAGTGAACTGGGCTGAGCTGAGCTGAGCTGGGCTGAACTGGGCTGAACTGGGTTGAGCTGGACTGAGTGAACTGGGCTGAACTGGGCTGTGCTGGGATGAGTTGAGCGGAACTGGGCTGAGCTGGGCTGAGTGAACTGGACTGAGCTGGGCTGAGTGAACTGGGCTGAGCTGGGCTGGGCTGGGCTGGGCTGAGCTGAGTGAACTGGGCTGGGCTGGGCTGAGTGAACTGGGCTGAGCTGGGCTTGGCTGGTCTGGGCTGGGCTGGGCTAAACTGGGCTGAGCTGAGCTGGGCTGAGCTGGGCTTGGCTGGTCTGGGCTGGGCTGGGCTAAACTGGGCTGAGCTGAGCTGAGTGAACTGGACTGAGCTGGGCTGAGTGAACTGGGCTGGGCTGCACTGGGCTGGGCTGTGCTGGGCTGGGCTGGGCTGAGCTGGGCTAAACTGGGCTGAACTGGGCTGAGCTGAACTGGGTTGAGCTAGGCTGAGTGAACTGGGCTGAACTGGGCTGTACTGAGCTGAGCAGGCTGTCCTGAGCTGGGCTGAGCTCGGCTGACCTGGCCTGAACTGGGCTGAACTGGGCTGAGCTAGGCTGAGCAGGGCTGACCTAGGCTGTGCTGAACTGGGCTGAGCTGGGCTAAGCTGGGCTTGGCTGGTCTAGGCTGTGCTGGGCTGTGCTGAACTGGCTGAGTTGGGCTGAGTTGGGCTGACCTGGGCTGACCTGGGCTGACCTGGGCTGAGCTGTGCTGAACCGTGCTGAGCTGGGCTGGGCTGAGCTGGGCTGAGCTGAGCTGGGCTTGGTTGGGCTAGTGAGATGAGCTGGGCTGAGCTGGGCTGGGCTGAGCTGAGCTGAGCTGAGCTGAGCTGGGCTGAGCTGGGTTGAGCTGGGCTGAACTGGGCTGAGCTGAGCTGAGCTGAGCTGAACTGGGCTGAGCTGGGCTGACCTGGCTGAACTGAGCTGGGCTGAACTGAGCTGGGCTGAGCTGGGCTGAGCTGGGTTAAACTGGGCTGAACTGGGCTGAGCTGAACTGGGCTGAGCTGGGCTGAACTGGGTTGAACTGGGCTGTGCTGAACTTAACTGGGCTGGGCTAAACTGGGCTGAGCTGAGCTGAGTGAACTGGACTGAGCTGGGCTGAGTGAACTGGGCTGGGCTGAGCTGGGCTGGGCTGGGCTGGACTGACCTGGGCTGAGCTGGGTTGAACTGGGCTGAGCTGGGCTGAATTGGGCTGAGCTGGGCTAAACTGGGCTGAGCTGGGCTGACCTGGGCTGAACTGGGCTGAGCTAGGCTGTGCTGAACTGGACTGAACTGGGATGGGCTAAACTGGGCTGAGCTGAGCTGAGTAAACTGGACTGAGCTGGGCTGAGTGAACTGGGCTGGGCTGCACTGGGCTGGGCTGCGCTTGCCTGGGTTTGGGCTGAACTGGGCTGAGCTGAACTGGGTTGAGCTGGGCTGAGCTGGGCTGAGCTGGGCTGAATTGGGCTGAGCTGGGCAAAACTGGGCTGAGCTGGGCTGATTTGGGCTGAGCTGGGCAAAACTGGGCTGAACTGGGCTGTACTGAGCTGAGCAGGGCTGTCCTGAGCTGGGCTGAGCTGGGCTGACCTGGCCTGAACTGGGCTGAACTGGGCTGAGCTGGGCTGACCTGGTCTGAACTGGGCTGAGGTAGGCTGTGCTGAACTGGACTGAACTGGGATGGGCTAAACTGGACTGAGCTGAGCTGGGCTGAACTGGGCTGAGCTGGGCTGAACTGGTATGACTTGGGCTGAACTGGACTGAGCTGGGCTGAGCTGGGCAGGGCTAAACTGGGCTGAGCTGGGCTGACTTAGGCTGTGCTGAACTGGGCTGAGCTGGGCTTGGCTGGTCTGGGCTGAGCTGGGCTGTGCTGAACTGGGCTGAGTTGGGCTGAGTTGGGCTGACCTGTGCTGATCTGGGCTGACCTGGGCTGAGCCTGTGCTGAACCATGCTGAGCTTGGCTGAGCTGGGTTGAGCTGGGCTGAGCTGAGCTGAGCTAGGCTGAGCTGAGCTGGGCTGAGCTTGGCTGAGCTGGGTTGAGCTGGGCTGAGCTGAGCTGAGCTCGGCTGAGCTGAGCTGGGCTGAGCTGAGTTGTGCTGAGCTGGGCTGAGGGGGGCTGAGGGGGGCTGAGCTGAGCTGGGCTGAGTTGGGCTGAGCTGGGTTGAGCTGGGCTTAGCTGAGCTGAGCTGGGCTGATCTGGGCTGAGCTGGGCTGAGCTGGGTTGGGTTGGGTTTGGCTGGGTTGAACTGGGCTGAGCTGAGCTGGGCTGAGCTGAGCTGGGCTGAGCTGGGCTGAGCTGAGCTGGGCTGAGCTGGGCTGAGCTGGGCTGAGCTGAGTTGGGCTGAGCTGAGTTGTGCTGAGCTGGGCTGAGCTGAGTTGGGCTGAGCTGGGTTGAGCTGAGCTGGGCTGAGCTGGGCTGAGCTGGGCTGAGCTGGGCTGAGCTGAGTTGGGCTGAGCTGGGCTGAGCTGGGCTGGGCTGAGCTGGGCTGAGTTGGGTTGAGTTGGGCTGGGTTTAACTGGGCTGAGCTGAGCTGGGCTGAGCTGGGCTGAGCTGGGCTGAGCTGGGCTGAGCTGGACTGAGCTGGGCTGGGTTGAGTTGGGCTGGGTTGAACTGGGCTGAGCTGAGCTGGGCTGGGTTGGGTTGAGTTGGGCTGGGTTTAACTGGGCTGAGCTGAGCTGGGCTGAGCTGGGCTGGGTTGAGTTGAGTTGGGCTGGGTTGAACTGGGCTGAGCTGAGCTGGGCTGGGTTGGGTTGAGTTGGGCTGGGTTTAACTGGGCTGAGCTGAGCTGGACTGAGCTGGGCTGGGTTGAGTTGGGCTGGGTTGAACTGGGCTGAGCTGAGCTGGGTTGAACTGGGCTGAGCTGGGCTGAGCTGGACTGAGCTGGGCTGAGCTGGGTTGAACTGGGCTGAGCTGGGCTAGGCTCGGCTGGGCTGAGCTGGGCTGAGCTAGGCTGGGTTTAGCTGAGCTGAGCTGGGCTGGGCTGAGCTGAGCTGGGCTGAGCTGGGCTGAGCTGAGCTGAGCTGAGCTGGGCTGAGCTGGGCTGAGCTGGTCTGGGCTGAGATGAGCTGGGCTGGGCTGGCCTGGGCTGTGCTGGGCTCTGCCTGGTCCCACAGGGTAGTGCTGTTTTCTGAGATCCTCCTGACTTGGCTCACTTGTGCTAAGTGTACCCCATCCTTGAGGAAGGTTGTCCTTGGCTGGCGGGTGGAGATGGATGAGGTAGAATGCATTTGGTTTGACTTTGTAGACAGAGATAAGATGAGTTTCACGGCTTGAAATAGTCTATTCTGGGTTCGCCTGGGCCAAGATGGACCCAGGTGGGCTCTCTGGAGCTGAGCTGGACTGGGCTGAGCTGGGCTGGCTGTATAGAGCTGGGCCCGGGTCCGACGGGCTGAGGTCTGGGGTTCCCAGGCCAGGGGACAGCAGGCGGGGTCACTGCTGGGGTCAGGCCTGAAGCGGGCTCCCTCGGGCGGTCAGCAGGGAAGCCTGGCTGGTCAGAGAGGTGGGTGAAGGGGCACCCTCAGCTGCAGAGCGTCCAGCCCAGTGAGCAGCAGGTGGAGGTGGGATGGGCCACACTCATGATTCCTATTGGTTGGGGGCCTCTGGACCCCAGGCCTTGTTGGGGGGGGGCTGAGGGTGGGGGCAGAGGAGACATCTTGCTGATCCCTGGGCGGCTCGGGGTCCCTGCTCCGCAGTGTTGGGGGGCGATGGCTCTGAGCCTCTGCTGCTTGAGGAGCGGAGAGCTCCCCCGTGGGCGGGTGGCATGTGCTGCCCTCAGGGCTGAGGGGTCCGACCAGGGGCGGGGGCAGCAGCAGCTCCGGGGGGCACAGGCTTCTGGGAGGAACCGGGGATGAGCCCTGAACAAGCCAGGGCTTCTCCGTGCCCCGGGCTGGAAGGAGGGCCCATGCTCCCCCCCAGATTCCCGGGCCCTGGGAGGGGCTGCCCAAGGCCAAGGCGCCAGCGCTGACGGGGCCCCGTTCCATCCCTCAGGCTCCATGCAGCGCCCAGACGTCTTCCTCTTGGCCCCCTGCTCCAGAGGCGCCGCCGGGGAGGCCGTCTCCGTGACGCTAGGCTGCCTGGTCAGGGGCTACTTCCCGGAGCCCGTGACCGTGACCTGGGACACGGGGTCCCTGAATACAAGCGTCGTGACCCTCCCCGCTGTCTTCAACTTGAACTCCAGCCTCTACACCACCAGCAGCCACATGACGGCCTCTGGCGAGTGGGCCAAACAGACATTCACCTGCAACGTGAAGCACGCCGGGTCCGATCCCATCAACAAGACCATAGACATAGACCTCACGCCAGGTAGGCCCAGGCCAGCGAGCGAGGAGCAGGCCGGGCAGGAGGGCGGCGGAGGGGGCTCGGAGGCTCAGAGACTTTGTAGACAGAGATAAGACGAGCATGCCTCTGTCCCCAGCGTGCGACACGAACGTCACCCAGCCCACGGTGAGGCTCTACCACTCGTCCTGCGACCCCAGCGGCGACACCCACGCCACCATCCAGCTGCTGTGCCTCATCACCGACTTCACCCCGGGCGACCTCAAGGTCACCTGGCTGGTGGACGGGCAGAGGAGCGAGAACCTGTTCCCGACCACCGACCCCCCTCGGCAGGAGGGCGCGCTGGCCTCCACCTCCAGCCGGCTCAACATCAGCCAGGGGGAGTGGGTGTCCCAGAAAACCTACACCTGCCAGGCCAGCCTGCACGGCTGCACCGTTAAGGCCCGAGCCCGCACCTGCCCAGGTACAGCCCTCCCCGCACCCACACCCGCCTCTCGGGCCGGCAGGGGTCAGACGTGGCCTCACGCAGCCCCTCCGCACCCTCCAGAGTCTGAGCCCCGCGGCGTGAGCGTCTACCTGATCCCGCCCAGCCTCCTGGACCTGTACGTCCACAAGTCGCCCAAGGTGTCCTGCCTGGCGGTGGACCTGGCCAGCCTGCAGGGCCTGAACCTACAGTGGTCCCGGAAGGGCGGGGCCCCCCTGACCGGGGCCACCCAGATCAGCAAGCGCCACTTCAACATGACTTACTCCGTCATGTCCACCCTGCCCGTGGTCGCCAACGACTGGATCGAGGGCGAGACCTACGAGTGCAAGCTGAGCCACAAGGACCTCCTACCCCAGACCATCGTGCGCACCATCACCAAGGCCCCCGGTGAGCGGCCGGGCCGAGGGGAGGCGGGCGGGCCTCCCGGAGCCGGAGCCGGCTGACCCCACGCCCGTCCACAGGCAAGCGCGCTGCCCCCGAGGTCTTCGTGTTCCCGCCGCCCGAGAAGGAGCAGGGGGCCCAGGACACGGTCACCCTCACCTGCCTGATCCAGAACTTCTTCCCCGCGGACATCTTGGTGCAGTGGCTGCAGGAGGGCGCCCCGATCCCCAGCCACCAGTACGCCACGACGAAGCCCCTCAGGGACCCGGGCGCCAGCCCCGCCTTCTTCGTCTTCAGCCGCCTGGAGGTCCCCCGGGCCGACTGGGAGAAGAGGAGGTTCACCTGCCGAGTGACCCACGAGGCTCTGCCCGGCTCCCGGACCCTCGAGCGATCCGTGTCCAGAGACCCTGGTAACTAGCGCCTGCCTCCCGCCCCCCCAGGGCGCCCGCTGGGATGGGGGAGGGGCTGCCGCCCCTGCCGCCCCTGCCGCCCCTGCCCCCTCTGCCCCCTCTGCCGCCCCTGCCCCTGCCGTCAATAAACACTTAGCATGCCAGCTCGGAGCCCAGGTGCGCTCGTTCTTGGGGGGTGGGGGGCTGAGGGACTGGGGTGTCTGGCACAGAGGAATGGACTCCGAGAGGGGACGGGAGGCTTGGGCGGGGCTGAGCGGGGCTCTGTCAACCACCCTCCCGCCAACCCCCGTGCATCCTGCCCGCTCCAAGGAGCCCTGGGAACAAGAGGGCGGGCCCAGGGAGGACCGTGGGGACCCAGCTCAGCCCACAGCCCCTGCCTCTCCGGAGGCCCTGGGGGCCTTGGTCTCCACCCCGGGCTCCTGCTGACCCCTCTGACGCAGACCAGCTCCCAAGCCCCAGGCCCAGCTGCACACACAGGCCCTGTGGGTAGACGGATGGGCTGAGTGCGATGCCCACCAGGCGCCCACACGCAGGAGCCAGACAGCCCCCAGCCCCCGCCAGCCCCAGGGCCATCCCGAGCACCATGGGCAGGGGCAGGCCCCAACCCCCGTGGCCCAGAGCCACTCCCACCGCACCCTGACCCTCGCCTCACTCCACCCAGACGGTCCCACGGACAGGCCGGCCCTCACAAACGCCCGTGGGCTCACATGCAGTCACACCTGTCGTGCCCGCCCTGCCCCCACACAGCCTGCACTGACCCAACAGTGCCACCCACCACCACCCTCCGTGCCCCCTGTGGGCAAACGTGCTCCTGGGCAGCCTCCCTTGGTCTACCCCTTACCCAGGCCACCCCAAACCCTCGCTGCCCATCACGCCTGGGCCACAGGACCCAACACGGGCATGGAGAGGATCCCTCCACCGCTGGGAGCCCAGCAGGCCTCCCCCAAACCCTCCCTGCCAACAGCATCCACAGACGGACAGACACATACATGGACACACACACTCACACACAGAGAGACACATAGACACAATGCAGACACACGCTGACATACTAACACAGAGAGACACACGTGGACACACATGGATACACACACTGACACCTATGGACACAGACACACAGGGGCACGCAGGCACCCAGGAGTTGGGCGCCATCCCACAGCCCAGAGCAGGCTGCTGCCCGTCCCGGGGCCTGGAGGCTGCAGGGATCAGAGTGCACGTCTAACAGCCCAGACCCCCCCCCCACTTCGTCCAGTGCACACACGCAAACACATGCACACACACACACACACACACGCTTGCACCCCAGCTAGCAGCACCCATGAGCACGGAAAGCAGCGAACACCATCCAAGGACACAGCCCAGAGGGACCGGCTGGTGAGCTGCCCGCGAGCCTGGCGCCTGCACGTGGCACCCCTCAGTCCTCAAAGCAGGCCGAGGGACAGCGGTGGCCGCCCAGGCCAGGGGCAGCTCGAGCCCCACGTGGCCAGGCCAGCCCCTCGGAGCAACGGCCCAGGCCTCGGGGCTCAGACCCCACTGTGGGCTCAGGGCAGCCGCTGTGCACAGTTCAGGGGGGTCTCCGGCCGCAAGCGAGAAGCTGAGCGAGCTCAGGGCGGGGTGGGCGCCATCCTCCCGGGTCGGGGTGGGCAGAGCAGGAGCTGAGGTGAGGGCCACAGGCCTGGCTGGGGAGACCAGGGGTCCGAACGCAGCCTGAGGGACAGAGAGAGAGAAAAGGCGCCACGGGGGTGGGGCAGTGGCTGCGGCCTTCCCACCGGCCACCCTGGGCCAGGCAGGCAGGGCTCAGACCCCAGCCCTGCAGGTGGGCCGGCTGCTCTGACAGGGACTGCCTGAGCCCCGGGCATCAGGGACCAGGCCTCAGGGCCCAATGCTGCCCACACTGACGGGGGGCTGGCTGACCCCCACACCCAGGCTGGGGATGACTGACCCCCACACCCAGGCTGGGGGCTCACTGACGCCCACACCCAGGCTGGGGGCTCACTGATGCCCACACCCAGGCTGGGGGCTCACTGACGCCCACACCCAGGCTGGGGGCTCACTGACCCCCACACCCAGGCTGGGGGCTCACTGACCCCCACACCCAGGCTGGGGATGACTGACCCCCACACCCAGGCTGGGGGATGACTGACCCCCACACCCAGGCTGGGGGATGACTGACCCCCACACCCAGGCTGGGGGATGACTGACCCCCACACCCAGGCTGAGGGCTGACTGACCCCCACACCCAGGCGGGGGGCTGACTGACCCCCACACCGAGGCTGGGGGCTGACTGACCCCCACACCGAGGCTGGGGGCTCACTGACCTGCGCCCACAGAGCTGGACCTGCAGGACCTGTGCGTGGGGGCGGCCGAGGGTGAGGAGCTGGATGGACTGTGGAGCAGCCTCTTCGTCTTTATCGCGCTCTTCCTGCTCAGCGTGACCTACGGCGCCTCCGTCACCCTCTTCAAGGTGGGACCCCGTCCGCTCCAGGGCCGGGAGGGGGGAGACCGGCAGGGTGACAGAGACAGGCGGGGTGACAGAGACGGGCAGGGTGACAGAGACCGGCAGGGTGACAGAGACGGGCAGGGTGACAGAGACAGGCAGGGTGACAGAGACCGGCAGGGTGACAGAGACCGGCAGGGTGACAGAGACGGGCAGGGTGACAGAGACGGGCAGGGTGACAGAGACCGGCAGGGTGACAGAGACGGGCGGGGTGACAGAGACCGGCAGGGTGACGGAGACCAGCAGGGTGACAGAGACGGGCAGGGTGACAGAGACCGGCGGGGTGACAGAGACGGGCAGGGTGACAGAGACGGGCAGGGTGACAGAGATGGGCGGGGTGACGGAGACCAGCAGGGTGACAGAGACGGGCAGGGTGACAGAGACCGGCGGGGTGACAGAGACGGGCGGGGTGACAGAGACCGGCAGGGTGACAGAGACGGGCAGGGTGACAGAGACGGGCGGGGTGACAGAGACGGGCGGGGTGACAGAGACAGGCGGGGTGACAGAGACCGGCAGGGTGACAGAGACCGGCAGGGTGACAGAGACGGGCAGGGTGACAGAGACGGGCAGGGTGATGGAGACCGGCTGGGTGACAGAGACGGGCGGGGTGACGGAGACAGGCGGGGTGACGGAGACCGGCAGGGTGACAGAGACCGGCAGGGTGACAGAGACGGTCGGGGTGACAGAGACCGGCAGGGTGACAGAGACAGGCGGAGTGACAGAGACCGGCAGGGGACAGAGACCGGCAGGGTGACAGAGACAGGCGGAGTGACAGAGACCGGCAGGGTGACAGAGACCGGCAGGCTGACAGAGACCGGCAGGGTGCAGAGACGGTCGGGGTGACAGAGACAGGCGGAGTGACAGAGACCGGCAGGGTGACAGAGACCGGCAGGGGGACAGAGACAGGCAGGGTGACAGAGACGGGCAGGGTGACGGAGACGGGCGGGGTGACAGAGACGGGCAGGGTGACAGAGACGGGCAGGGTGACAGAGACGGGCAGGCCCCTCACGCACGCCCTCCACGCAGGTGAAGTGGGTCCTGGGCGCCGTCCTGCCGGGGCCGCCCCAGGCCGCCCACGACTACGAGAACATCAAGGACCCCGCGTGGCCGGTAGCCCGGGCGCGGAGCAGCTGAGCGGCCTCGCTGCCTTCCTCCCCCGGCCTGAGCGTCCCTGAGGCTGCCGCTCTGCCCAGGCTGACGGGAGCAGACGCACCTCCAACGGGGCCGGGGCCGGGGCCAGGACCCAGCCACAGCTCACGGGCATCCGGAAGGTTCCAGCTCAGGCCCAAGGCCCAGGCACCCAGGGGACCCGCCAATCACGGCCCTACTCCCACCCCATCTGCCTCCCCGAGGGGCCCAGTCTGCACCCATGGGGGCGGTCACTCTGGGCTCCCTTCTGACCCCCAAGGTCGGAGCCGCGCCCATTCTTACTGGACAATCCTGCACCACAGGGAGGCCTGAAGCACAGCCTGGCCCACCGCCCAGAGGCCAGAGCCAAGCCCGCCGGGCCAGGGTCCAAGCCCAGCACCCCGAGTCCAGAGCCAAGCCCGCCGGGCCAGGGTCCAAGCCCAGCACCCCGAGTCCAGAGCCAAACCCGCCGGGCCAGGGTCCAAGCCCAGCACCCCAAGTCCAGAGCCAAGCCCGGGACTCAGAGCCCAGTCCAGCCAGAGGTGTCCCTCCCCGACCTCCCTCCCAAGTCTGAGGGCCCTGCCCCTGGGGCCCTGGGCCCTCTGCTCTCCCTCCCTGCCTCCACCCACCCGGTCCTGCAGGATGTGGAGGCTGAGAAGAGAGAGGGGAGAGGCCCTGGGACTGTGTGGGGCTGTGGGCAGGGCCCCGCGGGAGGAGAAGGGCTCCCAGGAGCAGAGAAGGGGACCAATGGGTGGAGAAGGGGTCCCCCAGGCGGAGAAGGGGTCCCACGGGGTCCACACAGCAGCCACTCAGTCCGGCCCCAACCCCACCCACCACGGCCTCGTCCCACCTCCCACTGGGGCTTGGCAGTCGGTTTCCTTCCCTTTGGGTTTCTTAGTAAAGTTATTTTTTTACAAATTCCAGGCCCCCCGAGTGCACTTTGGGGGTGGTCAGACGAGGGGCACAGGGCACTGCTGAGGCTGCAAGGGGCCCTTCGACGCCCCCAGAAACACCTGCTTGGCCCCATCACACCCCTCGCGGGTCTGCAGCCCAGCTCGCTGCCCCTCCCCACACTGACACAGACGCCAGCACCCCAACTCCCGTGGTCAGTGTCGGCCACGGGGATGCAGCTCCCAATCCCCAGGTGGGGCCAGGATCAGCTCCCCCAGCCACCGGCCCACTGAGCACACACACGGGCCGTCCTCGGCCCCTGTCCTCCCTCCCCCAGACAGTCTGGGAGACCTGGTGAGCTGTGTGGGGCTGGCCGCCATCTGTTCGAGAAGAAACCAGGTGAGCCCGAGAGACGGGCCTCTGTGAGATGGCCAGAAGGCCAAGGGCAGTGGGGGCACCAGGCACTGCTTCCCCAGGTAAAGAGCCAGTGCCCTGGTTGGGGGACCTGCCCCTGGGGGCCTCTGTGCAGCCGCTGGAAATGGGAGGAGGATGTGTGAACACATGTGACGAAGGGCAGGGTTCTCTCACATACAAAGAGCGCTCAGGAGCCAATATAAAGAGAGCAGTGAGCAGCGGGTCCTTCACAGCAAGAAAAACCAAGTGGCCGAACGGGAAGAGCAGCTCAGTAACTAGAAAAGGTGCCTCAGGAGGAACGGGTCTGCCCTGCTCAGGGTCGCACCCTGTCTGCGGCGGGGACAGTGTTAAGGCCACTCTGCAGGCCCACAGGCCGCCTTGCCAGCACCCAACGCCCAGGCTCCTGGACGGGAGACTCCAGCCCCACGATGGCCCTTCAGAGAGCCTGGCTCCGTGGGGGGCCCGCATCACACAGCCGATGCGTGGGGGGCCCGCATCACACGGCCGATGCAGCCTGCCCGGCTCAGACCTGGGCACCCAACCCCATTGGAGTAGAGCGGCCACATCCGGGCAACTCTGAGGCCTGTCCCGACGCCAAGCAGGGCACCGGGGCACAGGGGACTGAGGGCAGGGGGCCTTCAGGCTGCAGCCCGCCCTGCTGTGCACTCACACAGCTCACTCCACACACACTCGGGACACAGACTCACACCGTCACACCCTCCGGGACACACACTCACACTCACAGACGCACAGATGCACACACAGCTGCAGGGAGCAAGACCCAGCCCACCCGCTCGCACGGGCTGTCGGGCGGAGCCTGGTGCCCGCCTGCCCTCCCCTGTCTCCTGCCCTGGGAGCCCCCGGCCAAGCTCAGCGTCCTTGCTCTCTGACCTGCAGCCCAGATCATGAGACACCCCATGGGCCCCAGAACAAGGACAAGGGCTCAGCTCACATATGGTGAACTGCATCTCTGCCAAGCCCAGGAGGGAGGAGGGCGGGCCACCCCACCGCCCGCCCCCCCACCCCCAGCCCCTGGGCCCAAGCATGGCCGGGCAGGGACAGGACAGGACCACACCCAGGCCTCAGACCCTGCCACCCGCCTCCCAGCCCTCCCAGCAGCAAGAGGCTGCCTCCCGGGCTCCTCCCCCCACTCCCTCCACTGTTAACCCCCACAGGATCCTGAAGGGTGACCCCAAAGCTGGCTCCACATCCCCCCTGGAACCTCATCTGGAAAAAGGGTCCTTGCAGATGTGACTAAAGTTGAGGGTCTAAAGACGAGAGCCTCCCGTGGCCCCCAGTCCGCTGGCTGGCAAGCGTCGTCATGAGAGAGAAGAGGAGATGCAGATACAGAGGAGACTGGGCGCTGCGCCCACCGGCCGAGGGGTGCGCGGAGCCCGGAAGCTGGGAGTGGGGCCTCGGGGGGGGGGGGGGGGAGGGCCGCCGCCCTGGCCTCCAGACGGAGAATGAATTTCTGTTGCTTGAAGCCACTTAGCCTGTGTCCTTTGTCATGGACGCCGCACGGCCGGCAAGGCTTGGCCACACAGAGCCCCTCCTTCCCAAGAAGCCCCGGGAGGACCCGTCCCCAGCTCTCCCCTCCCTGCGGGACCCTCGAGCAGCCTGACAGCAGCCCAATGGACGCCACCTCTTCTGCCCCAAGTCACACGCCCGTCTGCACCCACCGTGGGGCCGTGCCATCCCTGTGCGGGCCTGGCCGCGTCCCCCCACCACCCCCACTGCTCTCCTTGGTTTTGTCCAGGCCAGGCACAGGGCCAGCCATGAGGCCCCGTCACGGGTCCCTTGCTGGTTCCCCCTGCCCCCTGTGGCCGGGCTTTGGACCCCCTGGAGGGGCATGGTCTGGGGGTTCCCGGGCAGGCAAGAAGGCCAAGCCGGCCCTAGCTGGTTTGCTCAGTGGATAGAGCATCAGCCTGTGGACCAAAGGGCCCCGGGTTCGATTCCAGTCAAGGGCACATACCTGGGTTGCAGGCTCCTCCCCAGCCCAGGCCCAGCGATGTGTTTCTCTCACATCAGTGTTTCTCTCTCTCTCTCTCTCTCTCTCTCTCTCTCTCCCACTCTCCCTAAAACTCAACGGAAAAACATCCTGGGGTGACGGTTAACAACAAAAGAGAGAAGGCGGAGCTGCCGGACCCTCATCCCACGCAGACAGCGCTGGTCCCGCTGGTCCCGGAGGCTGTGCGGGCGGCATCGGGTCAAAACCCAGGCGCCTGGGACCCTGGGGTCCTAGAAACACCCAGAGGTTCTGAAGCGCCCCAGGCTCCCCGCCTCTGTCCACCCTCTGCCTCTGGCTCCGCCTGCCCTGGCCCCTGACCCCTGTGAGGAGCTGACCCCCCCGGGGCCAGTGTCACTGACCAGCAGGTGCGCTGTCTGGCGCGGACAGTCAGCACCTTCTGCACGTGAAGAAATGACTGACGGGTAAACGCAGGCGCCAGCCAGGCCCAGCTGCCCTTGTGTGTCCAGGCCGGGCCACCTCCTGGGAGTGGGGGTCACCAGGGGGGGTCAGGGGGCCCGTGGGAAAGCCCTGGACGGGACAATGGGCAGCACGTGCGGCCCCAACCTGCAGGGGGACCTCACGCCCACCCTGGCTTCAGGCTGGGCCCCAGATGCTCACAGTCATGCTGGGCCAGGGTGGGTCTGCCTTCTTGCCCACCCTGTGCCTGCTCACCGGGGGTCGCTCGGGGCCGGCCCTGTGCCCGGGACCCCTCCCCCCGGGGCCACCTCAGCCTGTCCCTCGCTCCCACTGCTCTGCCTCGGCCTCTGCGTCCCTGCAGCTCGGCCCCCGGCCCAGCCCCATGAGCCAGGACCCACCGCCAGGCCAGGCGCCTGGGGGTCACAGCCCAGGCCACACACACCTGGCTTTGCCACAGCCAGACCACAGACCAGACATGACGTGCAGACGGGCAGCCCAGACTGTGGGACAGGAAGTGGCGAGTGACCCCATCTAGGGTCACGATACGGTCTGAAGCCCCTCCCCAGGCTGCCCCTCGGCATCAGCCTTCCAGAGCGAGCAGGAGCCGGCAGGGGCAGGGGTCTCTGTGCCAACAGCCTCCGGCAGGGCAGCTGGCCGGGGGCCTGGAGCTCTCGGCCTCGGACCCTGCAGCAGCCTCGAGCAGGTGGGTCCTGGATGCTGCCCCATCTCCTCCTCATCAGGCACTCTGAGCCGTCCTGGGAACAGGGATGCAGAGAGCAGGCACCAAGACAGAGGAGAGAGAAAAGGCAAACAGGACCGAGAGCCAGAAGGACCCAGGGCAGGATGCTCTACCCGGACAGGGCTGAGCTGGGATACCGTGGCCTGGGCTGGACTGGGGTGAGCTGGGCTGAGCTGGACTGAGCTGGGCTGAACTGGGCTGAGCTAGGCTGAGCTGGGCTGAGCTGGGCTGAGCTGGATTGAGCTGGGCTGAACTGGGCTGAGCTGGGCTGAACTGGGTTGAGCTGGGCTGAGCTGAGCTGAGGTGAGCTGGGTTGAGCTGGGCTGAGCTGGGCTGAGCTGAGCTGGGCTGAGCTGGTCTGGGCTGGGCTGGGCTGGATTGAGCTGGGCTGAGCTGGGCTGAGCTGGGCTGAACTGAGCTGAGCTGGATTGAGCTGGGCTGAGCTGGGCTGAGCTGGATTGAGCTGGGCTGAGCTGGGCTGAGCTGGGCTGAACTGGGTTGAGCTGGGCTGGGCTGAGCTGAGCTGAGGTGAGCTGGGTTGAGCTGGGCTGAGCTGGGCTGAGCTGAGCTGGGCTGAGCTGGTCTGGGCTGGGCTGGGCTGGGCTGGGCTGGGCTGAGCTGGGCTGAGCTGGGCTGAACTGGACTGGGCTCAGCTGAGCTGGGCTGAGCTGGGCTGGGCTGAGCTGGACTGGGCTCAGCTGAGCTGGGCTGAGCTGGGCTGGGCTGAGCTGGGCTGGGCTGAGATGAGCTGAGCTGGGCTGAGCTGAGCTGGGTTGAGCTGGACTGGACTGAGCTGAGCTGGGCTGAGATGAGCTGGGCTGAGCTGAGCTGGACTGGGCTGAGCTGGGCTGAGATGAGCTGGGTTGAACTGGGCTGAGATGAGCTGAGCTGGGCTGAGCTGGGCTGAGCTGGGCTGGGTTGAACTGGGCTGAGATGAGCTGGACTGGGCTGAGCTGGGCTGAGATGAGCTGGGCTGAGCTGGGTTGAGCTGGGCTGAGCTGGGCTGAGCTGAGCTGGGCTGAGCTGGGCTGAGCTGAGCTGGGTTGAGCTGGGCTGAGCTGGGCTGAGCTGAGCTGGGCTGAGCTGGGCTGAGCTGAGCTGGGCTGAGCTGGGCTGAGCTGAGCTGGGTTGAGCTGGGCTGAGCTGGGCTGAGCTGAGCTGGGCTGGGTTGAGCTGGGCTGAGCTGGGCTGAGCTGAGCTGGGCTGAGCTGAGCTGGGTTGAGCTGAGCTGGGCTGAGCTGGGCTGAGCTGAGCTGGGCTGAGCTGAGCTGGGCTGAGCTGGGCTGAGCTGAGCTGGGCTGGGTTGAGCTGGGCTGAGCTGATCTGAGCTGGGCTGAGATGAGCTGGGCTGGGCTGAGCTGGGCTGGGCTGAGCTGGGCTGGGCTGAGCTGGGCTGAGCTGGGTTGACCTGGGCTGACCTGAGCTGATCTGAGATGGGCTGGGCTGAGCTGAGCTGATCTGAGATGAGCTGGGCTGAGCTGGGCTGAGCTGAGCTGGGATGATCTGGGCTGAGCTGGGCTGACCTGAGCTGAGCTGATCTGAGCTGAGCTGGGATGAGCTGAGCGTGACTGAGCAGAGCCAGCTACCAGTGGTGAATGGGAGGAGGTGGGTTCAGTATGGATCACCTCCAGAGCCAGTGCCCCACCAGGGCTGCCCCTGTGTTTCCCAGGGCACGTGAGGGCCATGCGATCAGAGGTCCCTGTGCCCTCTCTTCTCCCACCGTGTCCCTGCGGGAATGGGAACAGACCAGTGGTGACCTGTGTGCCCAGCCTGTCTGGGTGGGACACCTCACAGGGCTGGTTTGGTTGAGTCCCTAATCGCCAGAGCTTCGTAGGCCCTGCAGTGGGCCTCTGCTTGCTGGGGCTGCGGTGGTTTGCAGAGGGGGCTGCTTAGACTGGACTCTGACCAGGGAAGTCTGAGTGGCCCACGGAGGCCCAGGCCCCTCTCCTTTGCGTGTGCCCTCCAGCACAGCAAGGCTGGCCCTCGGGGCACGCCAGCTGCAGGGCCAGACCCCTCGGTGCTCACCTGTGTCTCCCTCTGGGCCCACCTTTCATGACCCCCAAACTCTGGGAGAGACATGGCCACGCCCACTGCACAGAGGGAGCTGAGGCCCCAGCGGTGCCCACAGACTCAGCTGCTCCATGGAGAGCCGTGTGGATGACGTGGCTCCATCCGCATGTGGCCTGTGTAAGGAGCGTGTCCTGTCCACGTGCTGGAGCCCTGAGCAGCGTGTCCAGAAACATTGCGGCTGGACTCAGCGGCCAGTCCCAACCCCGGTGCCTGTCCTTCAGGCTGAGTGAGCTGGGGCAGTCACTCGCCCTCTCTGTGCCTGTTTGCCCAGGGCAGAGGGGCGGTGGGCATCGTCCCATCCACGTGGGGCTGTCAGGGGTCTCACAGCGTGTCCTGTGTTGCAGCGAACCCCACCAGGCCCACACTCTTCCCACTGAGCCTCTGTAGCACCGACTCAGCTGGTCACGTGGTCATCGGCTGCCTGGTCCAGGACTTCTTCCCGTCGGCGCCCATGAACGTGACCTGGGGCAGCAGCGGGCCGGGCACCTCCATCCAGAACTTCCTTCCCGCGCTCACCTCCCGGGGCCTGTACACCATGGTCAGCCAGCTGACCCTGCCGGCTAGCCAGTGCCCAGAGGGCGTGACCCAGAGGTGCCAAGTACAGGACCACTCCAGCGCCATCCAGACAAAGGATGTGCCCTGCAAAGGTCAGAGGTCGGGCCAGGGCGGGGTGGGGGCACCACCACACCCACCGGGGCTCCCCTCAGACAGTAGGGGGCTCAGGCGGAGCCCCCGCAGAAGGCGGGCGAGGGCGGGGCTGGAGCAGGAGGATGGAAGGGGATGTGGGTCCAGGGGCACTGAGGGCTCTGCCTCCCTCTCAGTTTGCCCGCCGACGCCCACAACATGCTCATGCTGCGAGCCCCGCCTGACCCTGCGCCCGCCAGCCCTCGAGGACCTGCTCCTGGGCTCCAACGCCAACCTCACATGCACACTGAGTGGCCTGCAGAAGCCCCAGGGCGCCAGCTTCAGCTGGAACCCCACGAGCGGGAAGGATGCCATCCAGGAGGCCCCGCAGCGCGATGCCTGCGGCTGCTACAGCGTGTCCAGTGTCCTGCCGGGCTGCGCCGAGCCGTGGAACCGCGGGCAGAGGTTCACCTGCACCGCCACCCACTCTGAGGCCAAGAACCCACTCACCGCCACCATCGCCAGAGCCTCAGGTGGGCCGAGCCCCGCTCCAGGGGCACCCCAGCACCTCACGGTGGGCCAGGCGCACGCCTAAGCCTGCCTGCCCCGACCCCTGGCGCCCGACTCACTTTCTACAGAGGGAAACTGGGCGCAGGGCACCCAGCGGGCAGAGGGGCTCTCTTCTCCCCGCCCACATCCCTGACCGGCTCCTCTGTCCCCCAGGGAACACCTTCCCACCCCAGGTCCACCTGCTGCCGCCGCCCACAGAGGAGCTGGCCCTCAACGAGCTGGTGACGCTGACGTGCGTGGTGCGGGGCTTCTACCCCGCCGACGTGCTGGTCCGGTGGCTGCACGAAAACCAGGAGCTGCCCCGAGAGAAGTACCAGACGTGGAGCCCCCTGCCCGAGGCCGGCCAGGGCAGCGCCACGTTCGCCGCGACCAGCGTGCTGCGCGTGGACACCGAGGCGTGGAAGAACGGGGACAACTACTCCTGCATGGTGGGCCACGAGGCCCTGCCCCTGAGCTTCACGCAGAAGACCATCAACCGCCTGGCGGGTAAACCCACCCATGTCAACGTGTCCGTGGTCTTGTCAGAGGTGGACGGCACCTGCTACTGAGCCACCCGCCCGCCTGCCCCGCCCTTAAATAAACTCTGTGCTCGCCCAAAGCAGCCACCATCCCTCCAGCACCTGTCTTGATCCTCTCGGCGGTGCCCTCACACCCGTGCGCTTGTGTGTGTGTGTGTGTGTGTGTGTGTGTGTGAGTGTGAGTGTGAGCACGTAAGTGTGAGCATGTGAGTGTGAGTGTGAGTGCGTGGTGCACAGTGACTGAGGCCAAGCTGGAGTGAAGCCTGAGGCTGGCAGAGCCGTGGGAGGTGGACACGGCTCAGTGGGCCCTGAGGGCATGGACACCGGGGATGGTCCCCGCTCGTCTCAGCAGCCGCCTCGAGGTGTGGCGGGAGGGAAAGCGGAGGAAGGGAGCAGGGCAGCCAGGGCAGGGTCTGCGCCACCTGCCGGGGCCAGGGCGTGAGAGGAATGGCATGGGAGGAGGGCCGGGTTCCAGGGCCCCTCACCCGCGGTAGGCACCACACAGAGATGCAGGCCAGCCCACTGACTCACAAAGAAAGGGGACACACACAGGGGTGCACATGAGGGTGTACACATGTTCTCCATGTGCTCACACTCACATGGGTGAGCACACACATCCTCCACGTGCTCACACTTACATGGGTGAGCACACACACACACACACACACACACACACACACACACACACACTGAGCCTTGCAGGTGCAGGAAGTTCATGGCCTAGGCCCAGCTTTGGGAAGGCAAGGGGAGTCCCCATCTAAGCCCCCAGTGGGTTTTCCCCAGACCCACCCCATTGTCCCAGGTCCCTCCTGGCCCAAACCACAAGGCGAGGGCAGGTGTGGGTGGGGCGGGGGCAGAGAGACAGTTCCCACCAGGACCCCCCTCAGCTTCTGTGTGGGGCCTCTGGCAAGGGGAGTGCAGGGGGAACAGAATGGAAAGGACAGTCCCATGACCACCTGGGACACTGGGCCTCAGAGCCCCACAAGGGGGCAGCGAGGCCCTGCTCTTGTCTTAGACACCTTCTGGGCCTCCCCAGGGGACCTGGCCTTCGGCTACCTCTGTTCCCAGGGCCAAGGTGGGGTAAGAGCTCCCAACAACCCTGCCCACTGCTCCCCTCTTGAGGGTCCAGTCAACCAAGGGCAGTAGGGAGAGCAAGGTGTTGACTGGGGAAATGCTGCCATAGTGAAGGTGCCCCAGCCACCAGGGACCCAGGACCTGCCCGAGGAGGAGCTTCCTAAGGAGACCGAGAAAGGAGGAGAAAGCAATAGATGAGGGGCTGAGCCAGCAGATGGACAGATAGGTGGATGGACCATAGAACATACGATGGATGAAAGGATGGACAGATGGATGGAGGATGGGTGGATAGATGGATGGGTGATGGATGATGGATGAATGAATGATGGATGGATGATGAATGGATGATAGATGAAGGATGGATGGATGATGGATGGAGGATGGTGGGTGGATGGATGGATAATGGATGGATGATGGATGATGAATGGTGGATGGAGGATGGATGGAGAATAGATGGATGATGAATGATGGATGATGTATGGGTGGATGGATGGATGGATGGATGGATGATGGATGATGAATGGTGGATTGATGGATGGTGGATGGAAGGTGGATGGATGAGTGGATGGGTGATCAGTGGGGGAGTAAATGGATGGATGGGTGGATGGATGGATGATAGGTGGTTGAGTGGGTGGATGGATGGATGGATGGCCGAATGGATGAATAATTGGATGTATCAGCATGTGACAAGCAGGTCCAAATTCCATTTAACATGGCAGTCTGTGCCCTAGGATCCTGAAGCCAGCAGGGCTGCCTGGCCTTCACTGGGCCCTCCTTCAGGCTCCTTGTAGCTCGTCAGCTACACTCCCTGGGAGGGTGACAGAGGGCCCTGGTCACGTCCATCTGGCCCTCAGCACATGAACCACAGCCCCAGATCCACGTCTCAAAGTGGGGCAGCTAGAAGGTGGGCTCGTCCATCCTCTCCGGCCCCTTCAGGGCCCAGGCCAGCTCAGCCCATGAGCAGGAGCGTGGTGAGGACACAGATAGGCCTTGGGCTTGAGCTCTCCTCCGAGCAGCAAAGACGGTGCCCACCCTCCTGCCCTGCCAGCTCTCTCTCCCTAAGGCGGCCCGAGACCCTCCCAGACAGAGGCCCTGTGGGCATCTCCAGAGCCACAGTGGCCCCAGTCCCTTCTCCAGGGACCTGCCACCTCATCCTCTCTAAGGCAGCCTCGCCTGTGAGATAAGGAACCACACTGCTGGCCCCGACCCCAGGGGTGCAGGGAGGGAGGGCGGTGGCTCGACCCACACCCACGCAGGCGCATGCTTCGCAGGCGCTCAGTGTCTTGCAGGTTGCCAGGAGCTGCTCCCCTGCGTGATGCTAGACCGGCCACAGGACCTGGAGGAGGACGCCCCGGGAGCCAGCCTGTGGCCCACCACGGTCACCCTGCTCACCCTCTTCCTGCTCAGCATCTTCTACAGCACAGCACTGACCGTGACAAGCGTCCGGGGCCCGCCCAGCAGCAGGGAGGGCCCCCCGTTCTAAGCAGGAGCCAGCCAGGCGCAGGTGGGGGCGAGGAGACAGCGTGGTGGGCTAATGGGGCATGGGGCACCTGGCTAGCAGGAAAGCAGATGCCACAGGGGGTCTGGAATCTGAGGGAGTCGTTCCTCACAGACACCGAGGACATGGGCAGGCCAGGGCCCGGAGCACAGATGTCCCCCGACAGGGTCAGGGAATCTGCTTCCCACTCGGTGCATCCACTGCAGGGTTACATCCAGTCTGCCCTGAGCCAGCCTGGGGCTGAGGGTGGGGCATTGGCAAGGACCCTGCCCCCTCAGGAGCGACCCCAGGCCCTGACCCTCCTGTGTTTGCAGGAAGGAGCATGGAAGAGCCTCCCAGAGCCCAAGCGGACACCAGAGCCCAGCCCGGGAAGGAAGCACCCGCCCAGCCCCACACGAGCCTTCCTCGTACAATAAACTTGTGACCAACACAGACGTTCTCTGACTCTGAATGAGGGGAGGGGACAGGGGCTGGGGGGCGGAGGGGAGGTTCAGAGAGAAGGTACCGGCCTCATGCCCCAAGGCAGGTTCACAGTGAACCTGTGGCCCCTGCCAAGGCCACCAGACCAGGTCCTACCTACGGCACAGGTGTGAACAAAAGCAGGTTTCACCAAGGAGAGTATAAACAAGATCCTCACAGGAAGTGGGCCCGGCTCCCTTGTCCTGATGACTGAGCCCTGATCCTGATCACTGAGCCTGGATAAGTCACTGAGCCCTGGTCCTGGTCACTGGGCCCTGGTCCTGGTCACTGAGCCCTGGTCCTGGTCACTGGGCCCTGGTCCTGGTCACTGAGCCCTGGTCCTGGTCACTGAGCCCTGGTCCGGGTCACTGAGCCCTGGTCCGGGTCACTGAGTCCTGGTCCGGGTCACTGAGTCCTGGTCCGAGTCACTGAGCCCTGGTCCGGGTCACTGAGCCCTGGTCCGGGTCACTGAGTCCTGGTCCGGGTCACTGATCCCTGGTCCGGGTCACTGAGTCCTGGTCCAGGTCACTGAGCCCTGGTCCGGGTCACTGAGTCCTGGTCCGGGTCACTGAGCCCTGGTCCGGGTCACTGAGTCCTGGTCCGGGTCACTGAGCCCTGGTCCTGGTCACTGAGCCCTGGTCCTGGTCACTGAGTCCTGGTCCGGGTCACTGAGTCCTGGTCCGGGTCACTGAGCCCTGGTCCTGGTCACTGAGTCCTGGTCCGGGTCACTGAGCCCTGGTCCTGGTCACTGAGCCCTGGTCCGGGTCACTGAGTCCTGGTCCTGGTCACTGAGCCCTGGTCCTGGTCACTGAGCCCTGGTCCAGGTCACTGAGTCCTGGTCCGGGTCACTGAGCCCTGGTCCTCATTACTCGGCTGGGGCCAGGTCTTATTCCTACCTGCTCTGCTTCTGAGTCCCTATTGTCATCCTGCATCACTTTATCTCAGATCCTGAGTCCGGCCATCACGCCCTGGGTCCAAGCACTGACCCTCTGTAGGAAGTGACCCACATGGAGGACAGGGAGGCTCCCAAGAGACCTGTCACTCTCTTTGTCTGGGCACTGGATGGTGATGAAGGGATGACCCACCACCTGGACTCATCCTCTCCAGGTTTCCAAGGGTGTGGGTGCCGCGCCCAGGCGGCCTGAGCCGGACCCTGTCCGTGAGGGTCTCCAGGCGCAGAGGCCACTGTGGGAGAGGGTTTGGGGCACAGGGTGGGGCAGGAGGGGGAGGCGTGGGTGTTTGTGTTCTCTTGTTTTTCTTGTTCTTCTCAAGACTCTGGTACCGCATCACCTGCTGAAACTTCCAAAATTACCCCGCGGGCAGCTGAGTCATTGTGACCCCGCCGGCCAGGTGTCCCGGCCAGAGCCCGCGGTGCTCAGGTCTCACCCCAAACTGAGAGCTGGCCAGGTGGCAGGACCTGGGCAATGGGCCGAGCCCAGAGGAGCCTTCTAGAGCAGGAGGCCCCCATGGCCTGCAGAATGCCCCCACCCACAGCAGCTCCCACAGAACCGGGTCAGCCAGGCTCACCCAACCAACCAATGTCAGCAGGTCAGCCAGGGACAGGCCTCAGAGAGGCCAAGTTCAGCCAACATTACACATAGGTCAGCCCAGCGTCATCCAGGGTCAGCCTGGGTCAAGCAGGTCAGCTCAGGGTCAGCCAGGGTCAGCCCGAATGGTGCCCAGATGTGGGTGGACCAGCTGGCCAGGGAGACTCCAGGGTGTCCCAATGCCAGGCCCACTGGCCTCGGCCACCATGTCATGAAGGGTCAGGATGGCCCCATTCCTTTCATTACATGTCACCTGGGAACCTTCTGGAAGGAGCGGTCTCGTGACCATCTGGTGACTGTGGAGCCATGACTGGGCCTTACAGAGGCCAAGGTCAGCCAGGCCCGGCTGGTGGGGCTCAATGGTTGAGCGTCAACCCAGGAACCAAGGGGTCGGCATTCTATCCCGTCAGGGCCCAGGCCTGGGTTGTGGGCTTGATCCCCAGTGGGGGGCGTGCAGGAGGCAGCGATCAGTGAGGTTCCTCTCTCATCATT